GTTCATATTAATGCTGGTTCTGGTGATTTAGGAGTTGTTAGTTGCGTGATATTCTATGAAGTGTTCCTGATAAGCAGTCTGATGGGGCCATGCTGTGTGGAGTTTCTTGTCACAGATTGGAGGCTTGTCTGCAGGTGGTGCCACTCTAGGTGACAGCGCAGACTGTGACTAAAGCTGCCACCCCTTTTTTGTTTTTTGTTCTCCTGAGTAATCTGTCACTGTACAACAGCCATGCAGCGTGCAAAGGTCCAAGATGACGGGCTGAACATGAGTTTCACCCACATTACATCAGTAGTTAGTAACATGAGAATCAAACACAAAGGCAGATGTGTTACCAGGTTGAAACACTTTAAAAACTTTCAATTTGTGTAAGTTTGCATATTTATGATTATTAAAATGACGAAAGATCATTTTAGGAGTTCCAGAACCTGAACACAGGAAAGCAGATAAAACTATGACATATTTAACATTCAGACATCTAACAGAAGAAGGGATTGACCCCAGTTTCAACACACAACTCTTAATGGGGGCAAATGTAACAGAACCTACAACAAAAAAGCTTAATGAACTATTTTTGCATTACATAAACACTTTCCTGTTTAGTTAATTAGTAAGGAGACTTTGCTATGATACTGGACTGGTAAAAGGTTAAAACAAATGCATGGATTTCTTCAACAAGTCGTTGATGATGCAAATTAAAGTCCTACACTCATTGTAAACCGTCTAAAGTTGGCATTAGGACAAAGACAAAGATCTAAAGGGTCAAATGTCCTCAGTCATTTGACAGTTTAATTGTAACCATTTCCTTTTAGAAACTGCTACCCACAGCTTTCATTATGTCAAATTACAGTACCACGGTCACATCTCTGATATGTGAAATTACTGTTTTCTCCTGTTCCCTTTAAGGTCAGTTAAGTTGGTAAGTAATGCAAGATTATTTTTGCTTGGTCGGAACGAAATATCTAAAGTAAGAGCTCAGTTCAAGTTGTTCTTTTTGTTTGTTCAATAAATATGAAGCATTTACTCATCTATGGCTGGCGTCGGTCTCTAGGATGCCTTTTAATGTTACAGTTAAAAGTCATTTTGTGGGAGGAAATGAAGGCAAATGAGTCATATTTAAATTTCAAAAGGTATTAAATAATCTGTGGGGCCATCAGAACCTTGGCAGAGCTGCTCTCAGCAGCAGGCTGCAGCACGGTGTGGTGCCTGAGGTGTAGTGACATGATGTGAGCTGACAGGTGGCACCATGGGTAATAGGGCTAAAACTCCCATTGTGCGACCTGCTGAGACCTGTTCCTACCATTTCGGACAACACACTTTTTATTTGATTAAAGGCTGCGGCAAAGGCAAGTAATTTGAAGTTTGGGGTGAACTAAAGCTGCATCCATTTTTCAAAGCTTTAAACAGTCCTAGAATTTAAAACTGCATTCACCTTGTTGTTGACTACGAGCAGCTTGGGTTGTCCAATGTAGCATACTAAAAGTCTGTGCCGTCTCGGACCTGCTCTCCTATGCAAATTAGTAGTGCTGTAAAGGCCACGTTGTTCTGAAAAAAATCTGGTATCAAATCAAATTTTAGTCATGATGTGCTTTCCATGCAACAAGTGCAACTCAAAGTGAGGTACAATATTAAAAACAACCACCCTCCTCCACAGATTAGCATCCAAGATCCCTTCTATATCTCCCTCCTCCCACCATCATTCAAATCCCATGCAAACACACACACACACACACACACACACACACACACACACACACACACACACACACACACACACACACACACACACACACTCAAAAGCTGAAGTGAAAGGAGTACAGATACAATAGGCAGCAAAGAAGATGGAAACGCCATCAAAAGGAGCCAACTGTACCAGGAGTTGCAGGGTTGGCAGAGGCAGCCCGAGCACCACCACATGGCACCAAGAGGAGGCACGAGACGCACCCAGGCAGCCACAGCCAACCGTATTACACGTCATAAGGCTGGACACACACCCTTAAAGTTGCATGTCCTAACCTACTTCAACGTCAGCAACATGTTGCAGTAATGCTAACGGTAGAGCGGCACATGTCTGCACTACTGCTAACATTCTTGTTTGACAGGAGGAAAACACTCATGTTCCAGACTGTACGAAGAACAGCCTCTTTTCTCATCTCTATTCTTTCTTCCGGCTCTCGGAGGGTGCAGACGCTTTTTTCATCCTCTCCTCCATATCTTATCCTCAAGGCCCTTTGTCTGTCTCTGTGTGCTGGGTGCACGGCTGCTTCTGCACTTTTTCTGGAAACTGGAAACTGAAATCACTAAAATGGACTTCGTCAGTTGGTCACTCAACACGATTGATAAATTTTTTTCTAAGATGAGAACGGGAGAAGGGGCTCCCGGAGGCCCCTCCGGGACAGACCCAGTTGGACACATCATGGACTCCTGGAAACAGTGGAACTTGATTTGTTTATCTCCGCTGTCTGTGGAGGACTCTGAAGACGTGTGGATATTCGTGGTGTTGGTGTCAGGTTTCCTGCTCATTGGCCTTGGAGGATTCCTGGCTTACCGGAAAATCAACGAGCTGTCGAGGAATATTGGCCTGCTCCCGGAGCTCAGAGATGGTTTGCACCGTGCTGTGAATTCAGACTCACATAATTGTCGTAAGCTTGGAACTTTGGCCGAGATTCCTTCATTGGCACAAAAGATAGATGGCATCTAGGATAGAGTGGACGAATCAGCACGGATTGGGATAGATTAATGTCCATTATTGGGATTTTGAGAGGTTGAGGACCAACAAACTGTAAGACAGAGAGGAAATTATCTCTGTCTGGCCCCAAAACAATTTCTAATCGGAATCTGGTGCCCTTGAGCCTGCAAGGCTCCAACGAAAACTCCCCCTCAGAAGATATGTGGAATGTGTCATCGCTATGGCAACTCAACTCTGTCTCCTATCCCAGCCTGGGCGGGACTGCGGGAAGGCCGCCGAATCGTTCCAGGGTCACTGCAACCCTCCAACCCTCAATGCTCCCCCCTGTTCAGACTGAGGTGACATGGGCTGCGTGTAGTGGCTGCAGGAACCGAAGTGTGGATAGTCCCAAACAGGGGCGGATTAAGGACCGAAGAAGATCCGGGGCTTAACACACACACACACACGCACACACACACGTGACACGCACTAGTCAACATTATATATATATTTGTCTTGTACCACATAATTTTTAATCTGAAGCTATATATTAAGTATTTTCAGGACAGAGTATTGTTCATGTTAGTGTTTAGTGTGAGATGATAGTAAATATTCCCTTTCTTTCTCCAACAACTTTACCTGATAAGCTAACTTTAGGCAAACCAGCAGCACAACAAATATTTTCAAATAAGACTCACAAACCTGAGTCAACACCAGTCTCATCAAAGTTGGGGTTCTGTCGTTGTACTTTTGGTCCTTATGTCCATCTTCACTCATGCGTTTCAGGCAGAGTGTAGAAGAAGTCGGCTGCTGAAGGGCTTCTTCAGTGGTGGAGGCTCAGGCAGGCTGTCTGTTGGACTTTGGTACTGCATGTTACTTCCGCGATTTAGATCCGGGGCTTTTCATAAAACATCCGGGGCTTCAGCCCATGTAGCCGGGCCTAACGCCGCCCCGGTCCCAAACCCACCACCCCACCTAGTGGACACTTATGTTGTGTGATGTCTGAAGTCTGTTGCATATCTGTCTGAGTTTTTTTTTTTTTTTTTTTTTTTTTGCAGAGCAAAGCTGCCCTCCCGGTGGAGGGTAACTCTGAAGTGCCTTTTTTCCCCTCCACCTGAATCAATCCTCAAGTAACCCTCTGATCTCTATTAAGGTAGCGCGACTCAGGGTTGCGAATGACCACAGTCACCAGTTCTTGTCATGTGTCTATGTATGTATGTCTGATCTCTGAATTGTGTGTACTGAAACTCTAATTTCCCTCTGGGATTAATAAAGTATCTTTGAATTTGAATTGAATTCGAATTTGAATTGAATTTGAATATCCAAATTGTTATGAATGCCAATTAAACCTACAACTTGAGGTCCTTGCCCTCTTACTCGGCCATCCAAATCAACCCCTTCCCCCCTCCAGGCTAGGCCTCTGGGCCATTGTGAGCCTCAATAAAATACAGCTATAGAGGCTAAAAGAACAGTTCACAATTATGAAATAAATTTTTTCTTGATCACCTTTAATGAAGCAGTTCTGTTTTTACAAAAGAGTGAGGTGAGCATTATTATTCTTCAACGATTTATTTCTTTTCCATCAAAAGAAATGCACAGATCAGCAAAGCTAACAAATACAAATCGCCATACAATAGCAAGTTTTTTGTCCATGTTTGAGAGGTGAATTCTGCTTGTCATTTATGCATCTTGAACATTTGAAGTTATGCTGCACTCTGCAACAAACTACAACTAATCACTGCTGTTATTCTACCTTCAAATGAAAAATAATTCAGTCACAAACTACATTTTGTACCTGGTCTGTTACGGGTTACTGTACTTACATACAATAAAGAAAAAAAACTAGAGTTTTGCATAGCTTCATTGTAATGAAGATACAGCACTGTAAGGCACTTCATAAAGAGTTTAGGCATTTTATTTATTTATTTTTTTACCTCTTTGCCACTTCATTCTAAGAATTTCACCTAAATATGCAACATCACATATGAATACAACTTTCCTTAATTTTATTTATTTATTTTATTTTATTTTATTTTTTTGCAAACTCACTAGATCTGTTAAACTTTGCTGCTTTTCTTTTGGCATTAAGTCTCAGGTTCAACATTCATACATTGTGCATAATATCGACTGACACATTGTCGCATAACCCCACACACCTGCTATTTCTCAAAACACTAGATATAAATAATAAAAAATAAATAAATTGTGCAATAACTTGGGGTTATGTGGAGTAAAAGGCTATACACATCGATCACATGTCCCGAATCTAAAACTGAATAAATGAGTCTGAGAGAGTTTCCGTTGCTTTTCCCTCTCTGATGCTTTTATAATAAAAAAAAAAAAATAGTTCTTGTGTTTGTCCTTCTCCAGAGCAATGCTGGGCCGACGGTGTGTGTTCTATCTGTAGATAAAATATTTCTGGAGCCCGTTTCACGCGGACAGGTAGCGGCGAGGAGGATGTGTCTGCATTATCCAAGCTGATCTTCATACTGCTTACGGAAGCAATCTCCAGCCGGGAAGAAATCCCAGCAGCGCTCCTGATACATCTTCCAGACGTATGACTCCTGCAAAGAGAGGTGGTACTTTGTTAAAAAAATAACACTAATACATTCTCTCTCTCCTGATAATAACTTTTTGTTTTCATTGACTTTTGATGTGCTAATACTAGTTTATCCGTTTAATTATCCACTAGGATAAATACAATAAAGTTTATCTTTCACCAAATACAATATTTACTAAGACATCACAATATAACTATAGGCACATTACTTATCTTTGTGTGTGTGTGTGTGTGTGTGTGTGTGTGTTTGTGTGTGTGTGTGTGCGTGCTCTGTCTTCTCGATCCCCAGTGAGCCGTGGAGGATGGCTGCTTATACTGAGCCAGGATTCTCTGGAGGTTTCTTCCTGTTAAAAGGGAGTTTTCCTCTCCACTGTCGCTGCATGCTTGCTTAGTATGAGGATTGCTGTATAGTCACTGACACTAGTCAGTGACTTGATGCAATTTGCTGGGTTCCTTATATAGGAAACATTATTTCTGATTGGCTTAATGAACTGTGAATTGGAATGTTTATTATGTGAAGTGCCTTGAGACGACTCTTGTCGTGATTTGGCGCTATAAAAATAAACTTGAATTGAATTGAATATTTACATTTCCATCAGTCACATTGCTGCTGTGCATCAGATCATTTTGTCAACTTGCAAACAGAAAAACTTCCCATATGTCTAAAGCTCCCTAACAGTAGATTCTTCTTCCTGTTTTTGTCACAATATAAATATTCATTACTAGTAAAAAATTAGATGCTGTACTTTAGTTTATCCTTCTTGTCTGATAAAAGCAGACAGTTTTTACTGAGGGATGGGCTAAAGTGATAGAAGCCTTAAAGTTGGGGTATGTTTAAAAATTTGAAATAACTTTAAAAATGCTTAAATTTGATTATCTGTTATATCAAATATGTAATCTCTCATAATTTAGACCCTCCATTTACAGGAAAATGAATCATTTATGGGAGCCTACAGTGTTGACCAATAGAATTGCGTATCCACAAAAGAGAGCTGTCAATCAACGAGAATGTTCCTAGCATGCACAGCGGGATGATGCCGGAGGAAGCTGGAAATAAAGTTTGCTATGGAGCAATCGTTACAAACAAAGCTACCAATAAGTCGACTGCTTTCTGCGTCTCAAAAGAAATTTAAACAGTTGACAAGTCCTTCTACAAAAAAGAAGGTTCAAGTCCTTAAGTCACACTTCAGCATCGCCTTCCCTCCATACTACACTCAAAAGTACACGACTCTCAGAGGCCATTTCTCTCTTCTCTGCATGCCTTTGTGCTGTTTTCCTTTTCTCCTTTGAGTTTAATTAATCAGTTACTCTTTTAGTGCAAACTTGTGATATTTTTCAGCCTTTTTTGTTTTCATTTGTATCATTTTAGTGGGTTTTAATTGGTTTTATCCTTAATTTCCTGGCATAGTGCTTTTACTTGTTCTCTTAAATTGCTCTTTTTAACATGTAATTTTATGCTTCGCCTTTTATGTGTTTTAGCTAATTCCTCAGTTCCTTTGCTATGTGTCTGTTGTGTTGTTTTAGCCTTTGGCTGTTTTACTGAACAGTTCTTTGGTCAGCTGCCTTGCTATTCCTAAACTGTGCTTTATAAATAAATAGGTATGGTATTGTATGTTTAGAATTTACATTGGCGGTGCTTTTGAAAGATGGAGGGAGCTTTGGGATTTACAAGGGCTCAAAACGGATTGAGAGTTGGCAAAATTTGTTTTATACAAGTGGAAGAAGAAGGCTGGAGCACTCGAGTTAAATCAAAAATATTTCATCGGTGCAAAACAAACGAACAAATGATGAAGCTATGTCAAAATGTTAGCTCATTTTTTGCACCGATGAAACATTTTTACTTTGACCCGAGTGCTCCAGCCTTCTTCTTTCACTTCACAGTCGTTGGTCCTAGCTGTTGAGCACCGGTCCTCAACTGGATGAAGCGCAGTGTGCCTATTAATTTCTTTTGTGAAAATAGTAGTAATTGCCATACTTATTTACTGTGTTTTATTTATTGTAACCAAAATGTTACATAAATAAAATAAATAAAAAGTGCTAACCACTGTTTTATGGGCTCGACACACGGGAGGCGACATCGCCTCTCCTCCATTCATTTTCAATGAGACGTGCACGGCAAAGCGATAATCGCGGGTCTCCCTCCTACCAAGCGAAACGCGAAAAACGTGAGTGTGAAATTTTGCGCTCATGCACGTGTCATGCACAGGCGACCCAGCGACGCGATCCCAGAAAGTTGAAACATTTTCAACTTTTCATCGCTGTCGCTCAGATGAGGACCAATCAGTGGAGGTTTCATTCACTGACCAATGAGCGGACAGGATGCTCCGTACACCTCCGAGCAAACATGGAGGAGAAGTTGATTATTATTATGTTTTATATAGTAAAATCACAAGTAAGATTTCACATAACTCTAACAGCACCTTGTGAAACATCATATCTACCACTTTTTTTTTAACTCTGAACTGCTTAAATAACTTTAATGTCCTCCAACCTGACACAGCCAAACAAAATAACGGAAGTTTCGATTTCGCCATGGAACAGAACGTGTAGATGGCTTTGCCACTGGCCGCTGCCGCGGATCGCCCCCTGTGTGTCAGGTAATAAAAGCGAAAGCGACAAATTTCTCTGATTGCGGTCGTTTGTCGCCTCCCATGTGTCGAGCCCATTATGCTCCGTGAACCTTAGGCTAATATGGCGCAAGCCTGAATGCTAACTCGACCTGCATTGACTGAATGACAACAAAACAGTTTCCTTGTAAACATGTCTGGGATTTTTTAAAACAGAATGTCACTCAAGTGAGAATTTCACCCAATTGAAAGATCAGGTAAAGTTAAAGTTTGAATCTGTGTCCAAGTGTAGCCCAAAATAAATAACTAATAAACAGTTACAAAAATGGTCTTTCAAACCTTTTTAGGATTTTAAGTTTAGGCTTTCTGATTTTGGAAGAATCAAGCTCTGAAGCCAAGTAGCAAAACACAGATTTGTCAAAGAATTTTGTTAAAGTGGAAATTAATGTGTGATCTGCAAGACATATTCGGGGAAAAGGAGTATAAACGGATGCTTTACCTGGCCAGTGTGCTCCGTTTCATCCTTATTGATGAGGTACATAAGGAAAAATCTGTCAAAAAAATAAGTCAAAAACAGATTCATTACATCAAATGCATGTGCTGTAATTCCAGCTCTAACACAGAACAGAGGAATGCAAACGCTGTGTTGGATTCCTACATCACATCACATGCCATGTCACTTTCTTTCTAGAAGGTTTCACAAACTTTGACATGAGTCTAAACAAAGCAACACGAGTCCGTCTCCATCACAGAGTCGCCTGTTGTTTCCTAAATCAGGAGTAAATGGCAATGAGCTGCTGCGTCTCTGTGGGTGGCACAGCACGCTAAACCATGATGAATAGTGCATGAGGCCACGCTAGCACAAAACCTATTTTACTATTAAGTTGATAGCAATAAATAGTAATGAGGCAACATAATGAGGTCGTCTCACATCCACCGACCAGCTGACTGCCAGAGTAAATGAAGTGAAACTTTCTGGTATTACAGAATCACAGGATGCACACTGGATGAAGGATATCTGCAGAATGAAGTGATCTGGATCACTGCAGCTATTAATCACTCATGTGCGTAATCTGTCAATCAACAGTTAGCAGAAAAGAGGAACTGCACATGTAATTACATTTTGTATTTATACTTACAGGTAGTTGGCCAAATTGTGCTCTTGCAAGGTGTGAGTCTCAAATCCATGTGGCGTGGTGTCAAAGTAGTCATTACCAATGCCACAAATAAAACATTTGGTCTGCGGAAAGAAAATAGGAACATGATTAAAGGACACTTTGGAGTTTTATTGTTAAGCTACAGAAATCAACAAAAGAGATTGGACGTTGCACTAAATGACACCTGAGTGAAGTTGGCCCCCCCACCTTCTTCAAATCCAACAAAAGTGGTTAAACACCACTTTGTTTAACCTGATTAGCACCTCTCAGCCTGTTGGCTGCTGTGTTACACATTTATGTAGATTTGAGGCTTTTTGATGTCGGAAAATAACCTTGAATATTTTATGGGAGGTTATCTAGACTCATTCAAATGTATGTAGCTGAATAAACATTTATGTTTCCATGCTAAGATAACTGTTAAACAGTTTTGTGCCGGGCTGTCAAAACCTTCAGGAAGGACTATTTTTAAATAGCTTTGAAAAGCTCCCTATCTCTCTAGTCTATGGATATCTTGGAACAGCTCTAAAGATGTATAGGAAAATTCCATTTCAAAAACTGTTTAAACCAATCTGACCCAGTGTGGAAAAGTTATTGCCCCCCCCCCTAAACCTAATTATACCCTTGGTGGCAGTTGTAATGAGAAGATCACATTGCTGTGGAGGAACTTTGTCTCACTTTTTTACAGGATTGTTTAAAATTAGCCACAATGGGTTTTCCAGCATAATCTGCATGTTAAAGGTCAAAGGTCAGAGAAGAACTCGTGGTTCCAGATCCTGAAGTAGCAAAAGCAGCTCCAGACTTTCACACCAGTAAGTTTGACTGCTGATGGTCTTTGAGATGCAGTTAGTTTACTCCAGGTGTAACTGGATGCAACCCTTTAAAGGTGCATTATGTAAGAATGAAGCAAGAATGACATTAAGTTGTCAAATTTGGTTACTGCAGTCAATTTATTTAAACTAAAAGTTACCATCATTCATTTCATGGCTGTTATGGATCAGGGCCAGAAGATTGTAGATGGCAACAAAGACGAGTCATAGACAATAAGTTCAGAAGTATAAATACATTGTTATATCTGGTGTTAGCACTCTCAGGTGTTTGACGGTTGGAAGATTTTAGTACACGTAATTCACCGTTAGCAATGTTAGGTCAACATAAGCCACTTGACTGCTTCCCCAGATGTTATAGTAAAACTAATGGATGCCGTGGCTTATTAAGGGTACAAGAAATAACTTCTGGGTCACTCCTGTTTACTGTCTTCAGTTCTTCAACTAACTGAAGAGATTTTTGCCATTCAATTCAAATAAAAAATGCCAGCACTGCAGCGTTAGCTTGACGTACACTTGGCAACTTCACGGGCTCACTAATTGTCAACAGTGACCACATCCCTTTTTTGTGTTTGTGCCATTAACACAATTTGGACCATCCAGTTGTCGCTCTCGCCAAATTGCTGCACTTCTGCACTTCCCTGGGTCCTCTATGCATTACGCACTTGTGTAGTTTGCAACAGAACACCACTGGTGTGAGAGGTTTGTGGCTCAATAATGTAATGCTGTAAAGCGCTTTGGAGTCCTTACTCTGAAAGGCGCTACACAAGTGCAGGTCATTATCATTATCATTATCAATAATATCAGAGGAGAAACATCCGGTTGCTACCACTTCAACTTTAGTCCCAAAAAGAAAAACACCATTCAAAGTCACGGACAACAAAAGACGTTTGGACCTAGAAAACAGAGACTGTGCGCATTGTTTCATCTGGCAGTGTGACTTTATGGTTCCGGTGGACGCAGATCAAAGAAGGTACCCAAAGGTGTTTGCATTCAAAAACTAGCTTGTTCGCAGATTTGCTATAAAAGCTTTAATGAGAGCAAAATATTTGTTCACCTCCATGTCCTCTTTGACTTGTTCCTGCTGGTCTCTCAGCTCTCCAAAGGCATCAATGATCAAACCTGTAAACACAAAATAACAAATGTAAGTTTATCAAATATAATTTGTTTTAAAAGTAAAACGGGTCCCCCCTATCTAGCCACACTCCTGAACAGACATTCCCCATCACGCGCTCTGCGCTCCTCTGACCAAGGCCTGCTCGCTGTCCCTCGTTCGAGGTGTCGTACTCGCGGGGACCGGGCTTTCTCAGTCCTAGCACCGTCACTCTGGAACCAGTTGCCACCCTCAGTTAGGCTGTCCCCATCTCTGCCAGTCTTTAAGAGTCGCCTAAAAACACACCTCCTCCGCTTGGCGTTTCCAGAACATGTTTGATTTGGACCCTCTTTTATGTTGAATTTATTTCACAGTTTTCATTGGTTCACTCAATCCATTGTCCAGAATGTTTCACCTATTTTGTCATTTGTATTTTGTAATTTGAATTGCTTTTATTTTTGATTTTTCATACCTTCAACTGAACTATGTTCAGAGCTTTGGGCTTCCTGACAGGGTTGCGGAAGGCGCTTTATAAATAAAGCTTTGATTGATTGATTTGATTAAAAGCTGTTTAAATATTTACCTGGGAGTATAACATAAGTGTTGGGGACCAAAAGCTATTTTATGTTAATTCAGGCAAAGATGATTTCCTGATTAAAAATGTTGCGGGTTTTTTGTTGAGAAAAACAATATATATAATGGTAAGAAGCTCAAATTCACCCTGAATGATAGCCAGGAGGATGACAATGACAAAGAAGAAGAAAGTGATGTCAAAAAGGATGCGGTAGAGCTCGTATGGATCACCAGCAGGGTCTTCGATTTCATCCCCAATGCCGCCTCCTGCTCTCACTCCAACATACATGTGAAACAGATAACACTGTAAAAATAAACAAACAGTGAGATTTAGTTAAGAGACAATCTAATGGTTGAATGTACTCAAGTGGAACGTCTGTTTACCGTCATCATGTCATCACACTTCATGTCCGGTTCATCATCATCAACGCTCTTATTGTAGAACTTCCTGAAGAAGTTGAAGGCCACCACCGTGTAGAGGTAAACGACGACTGCCAACAGTCCGACAGTCAACACCAGCTGCACAGGCACAAAATGAACAACCTTCCCATTCTGCACTAAGGAATTTACCTGGTTTGTTTAGGAACACAATCGGCACAGCAGGGGGAGAGCTGCTGGTCTCCACTTGTTCTCGACAATAAATGTTAATCCCTCAGAAGGAGCACAGGGATGTGTGGCTAAGAACTTTGGAAGTTGGTTCAGAAATGTATAAAAGTCATTTTTTTAAAATCCCACCCTAGAAATGTAGTCATCAGAATAAACTCAGAACATTAAATCTAGATGCTGCTGAGACAGTGGTCTTCTCAGCCTAACTAGCAACTACAGCGGAAGTGTCAGTAAGCTGCATTCAGCTTTTTCTTCAGTCCACTCAGTCAGCGAGGGATCAGTGATGCCTCACGTCATTTTGGATTATTTCCAACCCCAAAGAATAAGGTGAAATTAATGTTTGATTTATGCCTCTAGTCGTTTTAGAGTTGCTGACTAGATTTTTAATGAGGATATTTCAGCCATTTGAGTGCAAAAGTCAAAAGTGTGGCTGGGTGCACTTTAGGTTCCACTCAATTTACAGTCAACCATCCATCCTTCATAACACTTCATTTAACATTCATTTCTAAATAAGTCCAGAGTGAGGCATGCAGATTAGACCAGATGGGAAAACATGAGATGTGAAAAAAGCAAATGAATTTTTAACAAAAAAATTGCACATCTTGTGGAGCATATATTATAGGAGACCTATAACAATTCTTTTATGCATATAGTCTTATGGTCGATGGTTAGATGGGTTATTTTAAAGTGTGGAGAGTGTCTAGAGGCAGTAGAGACCCACATGGCAGCACACAAGGATGCTAAAGGTGCATTTTGCATATTACATACAAACACTGATCAGCTCTAGATTTAACTTTCCAGAAACATTCAAATGTTTCATTAGACATATGTAAATTGATCTAATCAAACATTTAAGAGCAAAAACTGTTACGAGGCTCGTTAAGGCTCAATGCTAGTGGCCCATCTGGGAATATTGAGGACAACCCAATGTGGTTTTGTCTAGAGGAAAACATCTTCAGTACAGAAAAAGGCTTCATTTCTTTGGCAACCTCACAGAAGGCCCACGTGTGATTTCTGAAGGCAAACCCGATGGGAAATGCTCAAATTCTTCTTTTAAACTGCTTAAAGAGACATTGTGTAGTTGTTAGCAATAATCTCTAGCGATATTCACCGAAATGTTGTTGAAAATAAATAAAATGATTCCCATTTGTTGAATAATATCGGTGGCTTCATAAAATATAACCAAAAAAAATGATTCTATAATACATGGGAGTGGGTCTAAGTCACCGGGCAATGCCATATTAGGCGCAATGTTTCCTTCTACGGGAGCCCGTGAGGAAAAATGCATTCACTGATTTGTAGCAGAAGGGTGCAAAGTTTTCATCATTCATAAATGTTGCTGCTTTACACATTTACCTCTTCACTGGCTGTCAGTGATGAAAGGCAGACAGATGTGCTTGTCATTTGCTGGAGGTTGTGCTCCTAGGGATTTTTGACCCTAATGGCCATCCGTTGGTAAGTTTTTACTCGAGCACAAAGATACTGCATGCTTGCAATGATTTAGGTATGTGCTGCCCCCTATCGCCAGGGAAAATACACACTGTCACTTTAAGGAAAGTAGCTTGGGTTGAAAACTGTATCAGTATTTCAAAAACTATGTTCAAATATTTAATCTTCATTTAAAAAAGTAGGAAGATATTTCAAATAAACATCAATTATAAGCTCAGATCTCAGGAGGTTTAAGATTAGTTGGTTTAGTTTGATAACAAATGCATATTAATAACCTAATTTAGTACTATTGTTAAAAAAATGGCACCTTAAAGGTGCTAAAGTTGCCAAATTGTGTACTCTGATTCATCTTAAGAACAGCATCTCTTGAAATAGATCTATGTGAAGTTCCTAATACTTTAACTGCTGTCCCAGGAAGTAACCACAGCTGCTGCAGCTGCTGCAGTAAGTCTAATGATTCTGTCTGTAACAGCTTGAAACAAGTGTAGATGCAAAGTGATGCCTAAAAGAAAACTGACTTTTCTTTTTGCCTCTCTGGCAATGATATCCGGAACAGAGATTTCACACCCCGACTGGCCCCTCATGCTTACAGAAGGACCTGCTTGCACCCTCTCACCTGTTTGCCATTATGGGTGACAGATGACAGGATGGTGCGAAGGGTCTTAAAGCCCATAGCGATGTCCAGAAGATGGGCAGCAAAGAAGAAGTTGTTGTAATGTCCCAGAATGGACATGGTGGTGTACCAAACCAGATACAGGAACGACTAAAAAAGATTAAAGAAAAATCACAAATCTGGTCATTCAAGACAGAGTAAATATTTGCTCTGCGTCAAACTTACATTGTCTGTAAAAACGACCCCCATTTTCCAGATGTGGTACTTTGTATCAATTGAGCTCAACCTGTCAAAAGCCAGAGTAGTTTATAAAAAAGGTCTCGTTTGACCTCTATTTTTGCTCTAAGCAGTTCCTGCCTGATGGCTATTTTCTGCTCTAATCTCCCACCATGAGACGAGCGAGGCCTCCTTGGCAACCGTTTCCTCTGTGGGGTTGAAATCCAGAGCGCTCTTGTCCAACCCGAGCAGCTCCGCTATCCTCTCTGCTCCATACAAGTCTCCGTACTTTTTTATCACCTTCAAACAGCAACCACAGAAAAACACGTAACATAAAGGACATTTTATGTTTCAAAAACATCGTCACAGTTTTGTTTGCTTTACAGATTTAACTAAACTGAAATGAAGCCACTTACCTTGCGTTTGACAAATTTATCCCAGTAGTTGTTGGGAAAAGAACTGATTAAAACCAGAAAAACAACAAGATAAGAATCAAAACATTTGTTTAGAAGAGATTATGGACCAAAGTTTAATTACAGTTTTTTGTGTGTGTTAACTCACGGAGTATTGATGACCAGCCTGTCCCATTGTCCTTTGATGTCATCATCGGACGGCTGCTCGGTGATGTAGAGGCCAGCAAACTCTAACTTCCTTGCTATTTCCTTTTCTCGCTTGAACACCACCAGAGGCACCTAATCACAGCACAGAAAAATGAAAAAACTTTAAAAATCACCCATCATCAAGATTTCAGATTGGATTAAAAGGAGTGATAAGTGGCTCCTGCAGAACCCGATGAAGGTTGAGGAGACAATTAGCAGTTAGAATCAGGTGTGTCTGAGCAGGAACATTACTGGTCTGTTAGTGCTACAAGGCTAATTGTGTGTGCATGCGTGGTAAGAGGCAGGGCCTTCAGCTGCTTCCAGAAGATGCTGTTCAAATTTCTAAATCTCCTCCTCCTTGATGACATCACAATACAGACTCCAACTTTGATGTCAATAATAAAGACAGAATGGTAACTTTTAAAAAATAAAGTCAAAGTTTAAATATCAGAGAACACGTATGTTCAAAAGATTGAATCCGTACCTTAAGGTAGTAATATCCTACTACACACAAGAAAGATATGATGGTGTGTAGTACTGCCAGACAGCAAAGCGTCGGTGCCATGTAACCGGTGCTTTCCTGCAGGACAAAGTACTCCAGCGCTCCTTCATCCTCCTCCTCTCCAGGTCTTCCTCGGCGGCTCCAGGGGTCTTCCTCCTCTGAGTAATCACCGGTCACCTAAAAGACAGTTTTCAGACATTTTATAGATGACCTTTCACTATATTTGTCAGGATGGTTAAACAGCAACTGTACCTTATAGAAGAGAAGAATGAAGTTGATTGCAAATGCAACGAAAAGCGCCAAAAAGCGAAGGTTGTAGAAATTTCTTGCAAGATAGTTCTGTGGGAAAAACTATTATTAGTAATATAAAACCGTGTTAATTGCTATAGATTATCTGGAGGTAAAGCAGGTTGTAATTAGAATCAGATGTGGTGGGAAAAATGTTTTTGAGGCCGTTTATTTTATAGTCTACTCATTTTGTCTCAGTTCTGGTGCTTTCTGCATCCCTTTGGTTACTGCCATGGCAACAGGCTTCTAAACAGCGTGGTTGTTTTTCATACTAATTCTAATTATTCTACAGAATAAAACATTTTCCTCCAACCATTACTAAGATTTTGCCAGTCGAAGACAGAATTATGAGATGCTTTTAGTTGAGATCTACAAACTATGAGATTTTCTTTGAACTAACAGGGTTTTTCAGGCTCGCAAATCAGATTTGGTTCAAATCTGAGAATGTTCTATGAATGAATGTATGAAAGGTGCATTGGGGGAATAATCTGACCAGCATCTTTGTCTGGTAGATTTCCAAGCCAGCCAAGAAGCTGGCCATGAAGGCCTCTGGTGGTTCTTTCCTCAGGCCGAGCCTCTTCTTTGGAGCTTTTTTCTCTTCTACCAAGGGCTCTGGTGGGGATTCGTCTTTGGACTTGTCGGGGTCTCTTTTCTCTCCGTCCTCTGAACTGTAAGTGTAAATCCAGTTATTACTAGACAGTGAGAGAAGGCCTTTATAGAAACATAATGGACACAGAGAGCATTTACAAATACTTGACAAACTGCACTCACTCTCCTTTTTCTGAGTCTGACTTGTAGTCTCCATTTGCAGCTCTCTTTTTTGCAGCTATCTATAGCAAAAATATTATGGTTTTTTTTTTAGATTTAGGTAAGCAATCTTCTATTTATGTAAATCAACAGATCAAAATGTGAGTACTAACCTGAGCCTTTTTCTGCTTGACAGCGCTGGCTATTGAAGGGGCGTCTCCCACCACCACCTCTGACACATCCCCCAAACCTGGCTCAGTCCCATGCTTGCCCTCCCTCTTGGGCTGTATGTTGAGCAGCTCGGCCATCAGGTCAGCCTCTGCTCCGTCACCCTGAGCCATCTGACCCATCTCCTCTAAAGCCAACGTCTCACTCGCCTCCATCTTTTCAGTTTCCAAAACATCTCCGTGGATTCCAAACTGAGTAGGGTCTGGCATGTTCCCCAAAATATCCGTCACTTTCATGTTCTTAGCACCTTCAACTAGGCCACCGCCAAACAGAGTGGTCCACAAGATGTGGAAGAAACCCCAAACTAAGCTGTGGATGAAGTGGAAGAGGCCTGTGATGATCATCCAGAAGAAGGAGAAGAACCCCTGCACCATCTCCTTCACACTCATCTTCCTGAACCTCCGGAACTGCCGCCTCATGCTCTTTAGAGTGAGCATCTGTCGGAAGTTACAGAGGCTCTTTCTCATTGAGATGCAGGCAATGGTGAAGGCTGAAGAAGACTCCATCATTATGCTCTCCTCTTCTTGATTCTCTGCCACACTCTGGCTCTCATCCTCGTCTTCGTCCTGATGTTCAACGGGATCTGGCTCTGAAATCTGAGAAGCCAGCTGCATCTCAAAGATAGTGTCCTCACAGAAGTTGACAAACAGCTCCATCTTCTCGCTCTCCCCACCTTCATTGACCACATCAAATATGAACTGCCGCTTGGACTCTTTCACTTGAGGCTTTTCCCACTGCGTCCGACTCGACTCGCTGATGTCAAAGTAGACCCTCTCAATGCGCTTAGCTCCGCCCATGATCTCAATGCGACCCAAGAAGGGCTCGAAGTAGCTGAGGACGCTCTCAGCCAAGTCCAGGAATGTCGACAGGCGAGCATCATGGGGCATGTGCTCCGAGAGGTTCATTAACAACACGGCTACGTTAAAGCCAATGTCCTTCGCCGGTTCGTGAAATCGTTCCACAAACTGCTTGTAGCTAAACAGATCGTTCTCATCAGCCTCAGCACAGCAGAGAAGAAACTCGATCTCAGACTGAGAATACTGTTTCTGGTTCTCCATAGACTTCTGAAAGTCCTTCTTTGAGATGACCCCTTTGCTCTCTGAGTCATATTCCTTAAAACTGTCTGAGGTAGTCAAATCCTTCAACTTGAGGAACATGTCAAAGAATTTTAGAATCATCTCCACATTACTGGACGATTCCACCAAGGTGTCCACCATTTGTTTACCAATGGTTCCATTGACGACATTACCTGTGATGCAAAACAAAGGTGATGTAGAGACGTCGCCAAATTTGCCTTTTTTTGAGTTACGAAAGAGACAAACCCTCTAGAAGAGAGAGCATCATGACGATCATGTCCTTCTGCAGATCTAGGAGCTCCTTCAGTAATTCAATCTGACTGGAATCCTGTTGAGAGCACAGAGAAAAAAAACAAAGAAACCCAATGAATATATCAGTTGGATCGCTGTTGGCCTCCTAGGATGCATTCTGCAGTCTTTTTTTATTAACCCAACCAACATTTGAACAGATGAAGGCTGTTTTAGATTCTGCAGGGACCCAGAAGATCCCTCTACACAACATCCATCCATCATCACCAGGGCTGATGTTATTTCACTCTGTGAGAGCAGATGGCCAGGCCAATCTGACTCATTTAGTGTCTCTACGGATCTTGTATTGAATATCCCATAAATCTAAACCTAACTCTCATGGGCTTAACTCAACCCTTCCACCTGTGTTCTCCCTTATTCTGGCTTTGCTGCGTTGGAGGCGATTACGACATTAGGTTAGTCAGGCTTTTATATCTCACCACTGGATTATCAGGCTCATTATTGATGAACACATACAGTATATCAGCTGGTTAAGTGGACTCATGTGTAACTAACTGTACCGCAGTAGCTTGAGATTATTCTTGGAGCCAGAGTGCCCTCTAGTGGACTTATAAGGAAAAAAACATAATTTTCAAGTTTTTTTTTCATCTAAATCAAGAGGACTGGCTTCAAAAGACAATATCTTCGTTTGCTCTGCATTTCATTCTTGGCTTTGACAGTTGACACGATGCACATACCTGGGATAACTTCATCTGCATGTTGGCAAAAACATGCAGGAAGCCCACAACTGCATCCCACAGTCTGCTGTGAGCCAGACTCTGCTGGTTACCTATGCACGGACCCTGGAAAACACACAAACAGAGACATAAACAATGCATCCTTTCAATATCAAATCATTTACAGATTTTGTTTGATGGTATTTCATTTTTTATTTATCTGAAGAGCAACATGTTGTGATGAAGTACCTGAATGTACTCAGTTAAAGAGTTGAAGACTTGTTTAGCTACAGCTAGAGCTTTAGAGAAGTTCCTCTGCCCAGCCTCGTCGATGACGTCCTTACCAGAATAGTACCAGTAGAAATCGCTGATGGATTCCTGAAAAAAGTAGCAAATACGTTTATTTTACATACTTTTTGGTGAGTTGCACTAAAGATCTGCCTTCCACAATTAATATACCTGGAGTCTTAGCAGGTAATCAACTGTGCTGATGATGATATTAACTGTAGTTGTATTCCCTGTCTGAGTTCTCAGGAAGTTTTGGAAATCTAAGGAAAATACATGAATTAAACCCTCTAAAGGAAAGGAAAATGTAGCTTGAATGTGTAAAATCATGACATGGATAAGTCCACCTACCGTTGTTGTGGCCCTCACAGAGAAGCTGCAGAAACCTAAAGAGATCTTTAGTAAACTCGTCGTTTTGCAGAACTTTGGAACCTAGAACCAAGAAATTTCATTAATTGTGCTTTTTGAAGGAGGAAAATAAGTTACCGTATTTTCCGGACTATACGCCGCTACTTTTTCCCACGCTTTGAACCATGCAGCTTACAATGAGGTGCGGCTTTAGTCAGCCAGAAAGGATGGATGCTGGAAAGTCTAATGAAGGAATGGTTAAAGGAGTGCTACGGAAAGTGCCCAGGAGGATGTTTTTCACAGTAAAATGACACTGCTTGTTTTCCCAGCTTCATCCCGGGATGATGACAGCAACGCGGAGAGCGACACTGACATCGCCACAGTAAAGGTATGTGACGAAGCTCTTCTGAGGCTGTTCAACTCCGACACTGAAGAAGATGATGACTTCAGTGGTTTCAGTGTGCAGGAGGATGATGAATAAACTAATCAATAACTTTTTTGTTTTGTTTGATGCTGATCAGTTCAGTTACGTTCAGTTAAACTACGTTTTCAATTCAGTAGATATCTGCAGCTTTTAGCCCGGTGCGGCTTATATTGAGGTGCGCTCTATAGTCCGGAAATTACGATATGTCTATCCAGGTGTATGAGCTTAGCTTTAGCCTCTCAATAAGCTGCTCTCTTGCTTTTAAACACTTCAAAATTATGAGCACTTACATTTGTTTAGAGCACATAAAACAGGTCAAGAGCATTAATTCAAAAATTAAAACAAGTCCAGAGAGGTACTGAGCTTTGTTGTTCATACCAACAAAGCTTTGGGGAGTTATCCCTTAATGCACACTGGTTAGTATCATAAAATATAAAAAATAAAACATTGGTCCTAAACAAACAAGCAATGAATTTCTGAAAAATAAGGAGGGAATAGATTTCAGTCAATTTTTGGAAGCTGGATCGCAGACAAAAGTCAAAAGAGCAAGCATGCGTTAAATCAGTCCAGGGTACAAATACAAAGATTTGAATGCATTCAGAAAAAAGAGCAGGAGTAGGAAAGAGAAGAAGAAGAGAGCGGGACGGATGGCAATCAAGATGTCAGCATTTGCATATAATGAGGAGAATCTAAGCCGTGTATTTACCCCGCTCACTCACGTTGACTGCAACCGATGACATAAAAACATGATCAGAAAGAAAAAAAACAAAAAGCAGACATAAGCAAAGGAGAAGACATCAATATTCAATCAGCAGAGGTAGGAACAGGAATATAATGATAGGACTGCAGATACGATAAGACGCTGACACACAGTAACAACTCTTAGTCTTAATGTGCAGTCTGCTTACCGGGAAGGTGTTTAGAGGTTAAACAAAGTCACAGTTACCATCACTTATGCCTGACATTATGAAGTGACAATGATCTGCTGCATGTATGATAAAAATATGTTCATCTACTGTATGCAACCTATCAGTTTAAACAGAGGCTTCATGCTTTTAAGGCCCAGACAGGACTTGGACATACAGTAAGTAGCAGAGGCTCGCCTGCAGGATGACATGACAACATGAAACGAGAAACAAATGGCATGACGACGGGGTCAAATTCTTTTGTAGGTATTTTTTTTTTTACTGTGAATCAGAATGAGACCAGTTATGTCAAAATAAGGCTTCTTGCATGGTTGCAAATCTCCAAGTTGATCATCTGAGAGTTTACCATATTTTTCATTCCTTACTTACTTGATCCCTCCTCAGTAACCATTCCCAGACCTTCAGCTTTGTTTTGCCTTTCAAAAGCGTTCAAGTCCAAGACACTGTCAGAAAAAAGAAAAGGGTGTATTTTGAACTTTCATAACCTTCCAAATGTCGTTACATCTACACCATTAAAAATAAATCAGAAGGAAAAATGTTTGTTTTTTGTTCATTTGGAGCAGTTAGGGTTATAATTTAGTGCTTTATACTGGAACCATGAAAACAATTCAACAAACATTAAACTTTAAGATTTCCATTTATTTTATTTTCCTAGATTAGTTATCTTTCAGGTATTTTTAGTGAGTGGTTAATGAGATCTGATCTTAAATTGATTCTTGATCAATTTTGATTAAAGATTTATGTCTCGATCTTAAATTCTTGTGCTTTTAATGCTTGTTTTGCACTTTTTAACTAAATGTGATCTATGCTGTACAACACTTAAAAATGTTGTCTGTGAAAGGCCTTTTAAAAATAAAATAGCCCTGTTTCCATTATCAGAGCTAATTTTACCGGACCTTCATGCGCTTGTTTCCATTTCACTGGGCCGTTCTAAAGGGTACCTGAACTGGGTTTCTCATATGGGCCATTCCCATCTGTACCGGGACGGCCCGGGCCAGGTAGCCCCAGTCGGCCTTAGCCTGGCCCGGTTGATTCCACACATCCTTGTCTTAAGCCCATGTGGGCTGATTCTACCCACCAATCAGAGGCTTGCTCTAGTGGAAGGTGTGAATTTGCTGTCAGCAGTGGGTGTGTTGGCCCTGGTCGGCCTGAAGCAGACCCCCTCGAGAAGAGGGCTGAGAATGAGCCTTGGTTGGCCCGGAAAAATACCAGGCCACCCAGATATGTAAACAACCTACGCTACCCGGCCCGGGCCGACCCGGTACAGATGGGAATGGCCCAATACTTGGCCCATTAGCTTCACTGGGCGGGACTTGTGGTTAACTCATGATGATTGGTTGTAACTCAGTAGGTAATAATATCTGCAGGTGTCGCCAAACAGCCAGCATTTGTAAAACTGAAAGAGTTGTTGGTGAAGCGTAAACACTAACACTGAAATATGCACCAAATATCTTCCCACAAAGCCTTCTGGTCTCCTGTAAAAAGTGTAATTTCTTCTGGTCATTGAACTCTGCTTCTTACGTCACACAGCCATTCTCCTCATCTCCCAAAGGAATGAAGTTACAGCGTACTTTGGAATAATAAAACTTTTAATGTTGTTGATTTTCGTGTTGTTTTGGTGCTTATCAGTGACGTCACCCGCTGCTGAAATGGTTGCCATTGGCTGACGTCTTAGCAACGTCCTGAAAGAGACGATTGTATATGGAGACGCAACGACTGAGAGGACTGAGCCATCATATTATCCGTCTCTTTCCTTCTTCCCAGACATTTTACCAAAGCCCTATAGTGGCAACAGGGCTCATCACTTACAAAATGGACCTGATGGGTGAAACAATTAAAATGTAAACTTAAAACATTCTCAAAGGTGGATTTTTAATAAACAGTGTAACGTCCAGCAATGGTCAGTTTAGGTACTGTTTGACTATTCAACATCTGGTCAAAAAGGAGACACGAGACTGCACGTGTTCCCTTTAAATCAGTCTGCCTTCCTCACATCAGCTGGAGCTCAGAGCCCGCAGCTCTGACAGAGCTAATGAAATCATAACAATAACATTCTCTCCTTCCAAGGTCCCTCACAGAGCACCCTTTTTATCTAAGTCTCCTTGCTCACAGAAGAAAAGAAGATTTTAAAATCATTAAATAAATGTTTGTTTATTGCTACTTATAATAATTATAAAATAATGAGATGGTTCATTAATCTGTGCTCAATGATAGATGTTTTAGCATGTTTACTCGACAAGGTCATAACCGTATTGCACTCACACAAGAACAAAGTAAGGTAAAGTTAAAGTCCATGACACATAAATAGCCTTTTACCCAGATCAGAGCATCCGGTATCGAAGAAGGCGTTTCTGAGATTCTTGGTAATGTCCCTCAAACTTGTCAACCTCTGGTTGGCTACACAATCATAACATGAGAACATTAAAACCAGATCATTCTGGTGATTCTTCAGTTCTAGAGAAGCTTCAGGCCGGCCACCTGAAGCAAAAACCTCATTAACCCACCAAAGCAAAATCTTTTTGCACCTGCGAAGCTGATAAAACAAAACAGTTCCTGCAGAACAAGCTGATTTGTTCAACTCCTTAACTCATTCACTGCCAATGACGACTAAAGTCGTCATTTGCATTTTTTTACTGTTTGAGCATCGGAACGAGCCCCCACGCTGACAGAACAAACATCTCAGCCCTGAAGCCGATCTTGATCCGCATACGTCACAGATCACATGATCAGGAAGCAACACATCCATGTGTTTGGAGATCGTTTTGGGCCATTCCTGTAAAAAAGGTGAGGCACGAACCGGAAAAGCGTCTGCGGATCACAATTCGACAATGGATTATGAAAAAACGGATAATGCTCAAAACACGCGGCTTCTTCCTGATGCAAGAGGTGAGTCTCCTCTTTGTTTTGGTTGTTTTGGCATCGACATCATGCTAGCGCGCAACGTTCTGTGACTCTTAAAACAACAGTAAAAACGGTGAGAAACGCTGGCAGCGAAGGCCGTTAGTGATCAGGAAACGGCTGGCAGTGAGTGAGTTAAGAGTTATTCCTGAGATGCAAACTAGTTCCAACTGTCGTTACCTGGAGATGACCCTGGACTAACCTGGTCGTACTGCAGTTAATCTACGGACTTCGGTACCTGGGGGCCTCCGACCCCCCCTGACATCTCGGATCTGAAAAGGGCGTCTCCACTTTGGTACGTAGAACACAGTGAGATAGCTTCTGGATGTGGTTTTGATTACAATCAACCTCATAGCTTAACGCAATCCAAATTCTTTTGCATCCAGAACTCACCTCTCCTAGATACGGAAGTTCGAACTAACATTTCATTCACGCATGGGTTTCATACATCACAGTAAATGTTTAGTAAAATTGTCATGTTTTAATTGTTTGAAAATAAATTCTTAATTTTATAAATTTGACTGTTTTCTGAATCAAAACGAAATGTGTACAATCCCCTAATAAATAAAGAACCCTAGAATCTTCTGATTAAAGCACAATAAAGACCAGGCAGGGTGATATTCTATATTTAGAGTATCACAGCTTATTGGTCATAAGTAGAGGTAATATATATTGAGCTCTCAAAGCATTCAATTTACCAAACCCTACAACAGAAAAAAGAGATGAAAGCTGGGAAATTTTATGTGTTTTGATTGACAATTTCGATCATCTTTATGTTTGCAAAACACACAATAACAGCTGATAAGGGTGTTGTTCACCAGCTGATGTTGTCACAAACTTATCTAACAAATATGCCAATTTTAATTAGTACATATCTTCTTTTTGTGTAGCTGCAAAACAAAAAAGTCTTCCCAAATGGCTCTAAGGTTTGAAATTGTTTCCATATAATTTGTAATCCAATAAAAAAATAAAAAGTTAACCATTTATTTCTACCAAAATGGACATTGTGCTTTACTTTCCCCTCATTGAGGTTGCAGACTTTCTGTTGTTTCAAGAGACCTGAAACCTGTTCAGAACTAATGTCTCAGATTTAACTAACCCCTTCATTATAACTGCAGAAACATTTTTTTTGCGTGCTTTTATTCTGAAACTGGTGAAATTCCACTTTATATTGCAGTTGAAGCTGAAGAAAAGTTACATTTTATGTGTTTTCTTACCTGCATGACATCATCAGCCCAGACAAACTTTTGAAAAATCCAACATCTCTTTTTTCCTTCAGATAATCCAGCATTTTCTGCATGTATAAAACCATAAGATTATAATCCACAATGAATTAGAAGCTTTAAACCTTTTAACAAAGAGGATGCTGCATCTTACCTGCTGGACCAGTATGTTTCCCCCATTCAGAACGGAGATGCCCAGTTTAAGGGTGAAAGTCACCGTGGCCCCGAGTCGCCCTGAGAGGACAAAACACACAAGATGGTTTAATTGCATCTGGTTGCCGCAGAACCTCTGACAGGTTTATGTTTTGTGTTTGTTTGTTTTTTTACCTCTGCTGGCACTGATCATCTGGAGAACCATCTCCGCAGCTCCTCGATCATGCAGACGGGCTTGCTGATACAGCATCTTTTGCTTCTCCATCTCCTTTTCCTTTTTGACATGAGGAAACGCATCATTTTGGGGATTGCATTAAGAAAAAGCTAAAAGAACATAGAGCTGTTGTTTTTAAGGCACCTCAAATGTTTTCTCTTTTCCTTCTTCCTCTTCTTCACCTTCATCACAACTCTGAAACAGGAAGTAAACGTTAAGGCTGCACATTTCTGCTGAGCAGCACATATGCAAATATTGTGAAATGAGGTACCTTAGCCATCATATCTGCATAGGCAATATATAAGGGATCCTCACCCAAAGAACTACAAAAGATAAAACAAATATTTGTTGGTCATATTACCAAAAGCTGCTTGTGTTTCCTTCCATGTAAAATGTGGGCAGTCCATACTAATTGCTCCTTTTATTAGTTGAAAAGATGGCCAAAACAATAAGTCACAATGGCCAGATGTGTGTCTGAGTGTCTTTTTACCTGCATTCAGTCAGAGCATTGTGGCTGAAATGCAGAATGAGCTGGTGAAGAGGGTCAGGCTGCTTTCTGACCTCCTCCTCCTCCTCTTCTTCCACTTTAGGCTGTGTTTTCTGCACAAAGACACATACGTCAGCGCAGACACTTTCACGTTTAACTCCATACACTGACAAAATTAGAAAAATGTATCATCAAGTTTAAGTACAATACTATGCAACTGTCTTTTTGCAGATTCAGATTTTAGTAGGAATTGACAAAAACATGCTCTAAACAGATCACATGCATAAGCATTCAGGTATAGATGCATAATCTGGTACACCAACCGTTCATGTTCAGCCATGTTAAAAATGAATGCGATTAAGCAGGAGTCTCTTTAAAAAATTTATGTTTTAATCTTATAAAATATCCCTCATCAGAAATATTCCATTTCCTTTCTTTGACTGGATGAGTTCTGTAGATGGAAGCTTTACGTTGTTTAGTAACAACCCAATGTTTCTGTAGCAAAAAAGTATTTATTTATTAGTGATTTATTAGTGAAATTTAAATATTAAAACTACAATTATTGTAGTTTGATCTTAATAATATTATTCTTGTCTTAATGAGAAAGAATAATGAAATGACTATGACTTGGTGCAATGTGTATTTTTTTTCCAGTTCCAGCCAGGTAAAAACATTTTTTATATAATATAATATAATATAATATAATATAATATAATATAATATAATATAATATAATATAATATAATATATGCAGCAGTTCTTTTCATCACAGTGAACTTTCATTTAAAGTTGCAAAACAAAAAATGTTTCAAACAAAAAACTGATTAATCCAAAATGGGTTTGAATGTTGAGGAAAGAAACATCAATCTCCTAAATCTTGGTAAAGTTGCAGCATCTTGACAGGATGATTCCAGATGTTCATCAACATCAGGTGGCTCTAACATCAGCAGTGATGTCATGCTTACCTGAAACATGTCTTTTCAAAAATGATGAGGAGATGTGGGAGCAACAGAATTATTTTAGAGGTGGTACAGAGTAAGAGCAAGACACCACCTACAGGTACTGACACGACGACACAGTAGGTTGGGGGGGGGGGGGGGGGGGGGGTACTTACTGCAAGGTCCTGCACCAGCTTCTCCTCAAAAGAGTACTCCTCAGTTTCTATCCAAATGCTTTGATATGCCAGGAGAAAGAGGTTAATAGAGCGATGCCTAGCGAGGGGTGAGAGGAGATTAGCATGGGTTAGAGAGGGTGCAAAAGGAGATCAGGGGTCCCTTAAGGAGGTGTTAATACTGGTTAATTTAAGGGTAACTGGCACATCCAGGTGGTCAAATAGAGTCTGGATTTTAAATTCTCATCAACAAGCAGAATTACACATACATGAGTTCAACAGAATGTGCATGACTTCGATTAAATACCATAGATCAAAGATTTGTTTAGCGGATTCCAAAACTTCACATAATCCATGCAAAGCGTTAGAGTAAACACGTGGCCCAGTGGAAATACCAGAGAAAATCTGAGTTACAACTCAAGCCTGGAGGAGAGCAAGCAGAGCAAGGAGAGGACCACGAGTCAAACAGCAGGATGTTAGTGCTTCATTACCGTCAGCATCGAGAGCAGACTGTCATAGTCTGTGTTCTCGTGCATTATCCCCAGCCAAATACGTCGGTAGGAATTCATGAAGTAATTATTAGTTTGGTGCCTGAGGGGGTGAGGCAGAGGTACAACAGTGCGTAACACTAAGGACCGGAAAAAGACAAAAGAGAAAAGAGCTCAATTTCCCACAATCTCTCTCCTCACAAGTGCTCCTGCATCGTGCATAACGTCTGGTAATGATTAACTATGATGAGTCATATTTCACTGTCAACAGCTTGGAATAAATGACTCATGCTGTCAAGCAGGCGGCGATTTCTGAGCACATATTGAAGAAGGCCACCCCCAAGGTTGGGTTCATAATTGTTTTCCTCATTTCTGTGAGACCTCCTGCCTGACTGAGTTACAGAGCAGCAGGCCAGAAATGCCAGTGTCAAAATTTTTCTTATCGTGTGAATAGATCACAGCTGTAGGCTCTACGTGTTACACAGTGAGGCAGTTCCTTAAAGCAGGGGAACATGAAAAGAATGAGGGTTAAAAAAAAAGAATTTGCTACAAAAGCACTGGTGCCACCAAAGAGTGGCCATGGGGTGGCCAGGGCCCCCAATGGAAAATTGCTGGCCACAAAAACAATACATTACATCTTATTTAATCAAGACATTGATCTAAAACACAAAATTAAGTTAAACAATGTTAAGTGAATAACTAAATCATAATTAATACATTAATTTGCTGTGGTCTGTAATACAAATTAATGCCTTGTTAATCGTTATCTTTGGAAAACAAAATTCTGGCACTGCTGTTTCAGGAAGAAAAAATGGCCGAAGCAGAAAATGGCAGGATTTGAAGTTCGTACTCATTAATAATCACAATATTCTGTCATCTCACCTCTGATTGGCTAATGGCAAAGTGAGCCTTGCACTGACTCTGTTTTGCAACACGGATGTTTTATCTCCACAAATAACACAAGCCTGAAGGAGTTCTGCTGTGTTGTGGAGTTACTAATGCTAACTGTTAGCTTCTAGCCCAGATGTGCTCTGCTTTCTCCTGGCTGCAAAAGTTAACACAGCCTTTCCCGTTGAGAGCCAAGAAGGCTGGGGTCATGAAAGCTAATTTAAAGTGTGACATAGATCTGTGTGGCTTTTTTCTAATCCAAGTGTTTACCTGTCTATTTTTTCATCAGTGGCTAATGAAGGTTAATGCATATAAATGTTGCATTTAACTATTTTCAAAAAGTATAAATATAAATAGTTTTTGTAAATGCTTTTTTTCAAGCAGCAACAGGCAAACTAAACTGTTATAAAATCCTAAAACAATAAATGTTGAAATAAAAATCACTTAAATAACTGAAATATGTTTCCTTCCAAAATGTCTTAAGTCTCGCATTTGTGAGGAAAATGTGTTGGACGCACATTTTTATAATGACTAAGAATGAAGGAGCAATGCAACGCACCTAGAGTTACCACAGGCTAGATGTGCCTCCCTAAAATTTTCACTGGCTCCCTTAAAAAAATGTTCATGAGGCGCCACTGCACAAGAGGTTTCTCTCTGCTGGATTATTAACTGATTAGCTGTTTGGACTGGAACCTTTAGGTGAAGCTGTAGACAATGATACCTTGGTAGATTATAAAGGGGAGCCATTCGGAAGCAAGCAACGACCGCTCGCTTCCTCTGTTTGGACAGCAGCTTCTGCCAGACGCATTTTTTAGATCTCAACGGCTGCTCCACCTAATGAGGACAGGAGAAGCACATATATTTTATTGAAAATCAGTAAATCGCTTCATGCACCAAGCAAACTAAATCACTGCAGCAAAATGGAACTGTATTTTCAGCATTTTCCAGAATGCCTAGCATAGAGGCATTTTCTCTGCTCAGATATTTTTGGTGACTCATCCTAAATCTGACTGTTTGTCATGCAAAGAGTAGAAAACAAGAAGAGCAGAAACATGTACGGATGACAGATGCAGATGCAGTTTGAGTCATCTGGGGCCAGCCAAGAATAAAACATTTTTTTTGTAACTAGATGGACAAACAGATGCCAACATATTTAACCACGGGACCAAAGTCCCTGTTTCCAAGTTAAAGGCATCCATAAATGTGAAAATAATCTATTCTTTGTTTATCCCACAGCTTTGACAGCGCAATAAAACAACAATGTGATCATTTAAAAACCATTCTGACTGAATGTGAAACCGTTTGACCTGGTCCAGGTTAAATATGGCAGCCGAGATCCTCTGGATCCGATCCACAACTCGTTCCGGGTCAGGAGGGCCCTCCGTCCTCATCACAATGTCCTTGTACAGGTTCAGCTGCCACCTCACAGCAGGATCCTCAGACTGAGTTTAATTCACACAAACACATAAAAAAATAAAGTGTATTAAATAAATTCATCTGCTATTCAAAGAGGAACTTGCTTACCTTTTCTCGAAGATGCAGATTCTGACGTATGTGGTCTTTAACTTCTTCATCTGTATCTTTCTGTTGGCAAAAGACAGAAGCAGTAAATGCTTTCTAATGAAAATGCAGCAGGGCTGAAGCAATGAGAAGTGCTTTTTCAGATCAAAAGCTAAAGATAATGCAATCCTGTCAGCAACAGTGGCGAAAGATATAGTAAAGAATATGTTCATTGTGAAGAGATCTAAATATAAAAAACTGAAATTATTACTGAAGTTTGTATGGAAATATGCTTCAAATATGACAATAAAAACATATTAAATATGCTAAAGTAGCCCATGGATTTTAGTAATGGATGTTTGACTAAATGATAAACATTTAATATACATTTTATTGATTTATTTTGGGAGTTCATTGTAATATAACAAGGAAAACTCAGAAAATTGTAAAATAAATTAATAAATAAATGCACAACCAAATAAAAGAACCAACCCTAATCCTAAATCTTAAAGACCAAGTTCACTTGTATTTTCAATACATTTGCTGTGGTCTCTAGAATGCTTTGTGAGTTGATCTGTGTGGGAACAAGCTCAAGTAGGGGGAGCAGCAGCCTGCAGGTTTTGGAGTCTCATTTCCTGATTTTTGCACATCTCACCTCTGATTGGCTAACAGCAACATGTTCTACAACTGACTCGTTTGGCTTTTTTCTTTTCTTTTCTTTTCTTTTTTAGTCTTTTAGACTTAGATTCAACATAAAAAACAATTAAACTATTAAAAATACAAAATTAATAAATAGGAAGACTTTATACATATATGTTTTTCCTGTTGATGTTTTTATGTTTGCCCAAAAATTGTTGATTTTTCAAAAAAGCTTCATGTTTAGGATGCTAATCAAGATTTGAAGCAATCACAGTAGCTTGCATGATAAAGGGCTAACGAGCCTTTCCTGGCAGTTGCAGTTTTGAGTAGACGCGCGAAACATCATCAATTTGAGTGTTTCCTCACCATGAGGTAGCGGGTTTTGGCCAGAGAGATGAGCTCCTGATCACCGGGGGTGCACATGTTCAGACCAATAGGCAGCATCTTCTTCAGAGCAGCCACGATGAGTGAAGTCTGGATGGAGTAAAACTCTCCTCGCCTCTTCTTGAGCTTCCTTTCCTGGTCTTGTCCTCCGGACTGAAAAGGTAATCCCATTAATGTGAGAAAAAAATGAACAAACAAGTACATCAAAGGAGGAAGCTGCAAGCTGCCGAGTGGGTTTTACCTCTAAGATTGCATTTAACAGATGTGGTAGTTATACTGTATCTAAACAAAATCAGAAAGCATCAGAGATTTTTGCTACTCAGCATTGGCAAAATCTGTAAAAAGTGTAATTTATCCGAGCAGCTAAAGCGCTAGTGAAGCAGTCCTAAACAAGAAGCGCTGCTAAAATGTGTTAGTGATGTAAATAATACAGTATGCAGCTGTAAACTGGAGCAGCTGGCACAGTGCAAACATTTATCATCATAAACACACACAAACATATAGACTTCACACACATAAACAGCATCATGACGTATCAACTACAACATCATATAAATATTCTATAACTACTGGCCAAACGCACATTTTAACTGCAAACACGTATGCCACATGATTTACTGAACAAGGACAGGCTTTCTTTGATCCAAATGAGATGTTTTACCCTTTACGGCGATGAGGAACGACCAACCTGACCGTGTCTTATATGATGAAGAATGGAGGCCACAAATAATATCACATATAACTAGACTATAGGGTACATAGCACATCAGCACAAGCTATTGACTTTTCTGCATGGCTACTAGAGCAAAAGAAAAGCCAATAAGCTGGCAAGTTAACAACTCATGCACTGCATCACTCTACCTTTTCCTTAAAGGACTGTTAGAGACAGAGAGATAGACAAAAAGAAGCAGATAGAAAAACAGGGGATGAAACTGCCGTTAGTGGGGGGTGCTCAGTCCTAATGGGAGCATGCACAAAGAAAACCCTTTCTTTGGCTTTAAAAAGCCAAACCAGGAAGACCCAAAAGCTCTTCTGTGACACTGGCAGGGGCTGAGAAATGGATGTTAGTCAGATATCTTCTGCAGAAAGCATGCATGTGCACTCATATTCACAGGTAGAGAAAATACACACAAAAGGACATTTTCTTATGTTTTCTTAAGCAAAAGTTGCAGATTGTTTAGCTTTGATAGTCGATAAAACAAGAGCCTTTATCCACAGAGGTGTGTGTATCTTTGTAGGTGTCCCCACATCACCCTTTTGACTATGTTGAGCTTTGGTCATGTTAACATATGAGCTCATGTACATAGAATTATCTTGACATGGCAGAGAAAAGGTTAACATGATCCAATTTTGAGGTATGTTTGCTCATTTCCCTGAAAATACTGACATTTTAATATTTCTTATTAAAAGGTTGCTTTTTTGCTGCAGTTCCAAGTCTAAAACATAAGGTGGCAGTGTTGGGAGGACAGGAATGAAACCTACCTTTGACATCTTTGTTTTATTATCACCAGTCAAGAACGAAAGGTTGTTGATTTCATTTTGCACCACAAAGTTCTGCTCTTCTCTTTTAAAATTCTGAAAATAAGAAGAATGATGAAGGATTTGTTATAGGTAAGGTCGAAATTCATGAATGAATCGTGCAGTGTGAGCATTTACATGTGACTTGCACCAGAGAATAAATATCTCTGCAACCATTTTGAAGAGTTCGTTGGAGTCTGAATCAGGTTCTTTTAGCCACCTGGACCTGCAAAAGCAGAGAAATGATTTACACCCTCTAGTTTCTTTCTCCAAACAGAAGATGCTTAATGTGCGCCATGGACACAAGGATCAGAGTTTGGTAAGAGGTCAGTAAAACGGCTCTCTTTCTTCTTTGAAACATAGCATAATTTAGCCTAACAACCCATGCTATAGAAATATGTAGTCCAGCCACACCCATAGACAGAGTCATGGGGATGAAGAATCAGAATCAGAATAAGCTTTATTGCCAGCGCTCCAGCGACCCAGAGCATAGGAACTTGACTCCGCAAACACAACCTGACCAAGGTTAAACACACACACATGTAGACAAAAACAGGAACAGGCAGTCCACGAGAGCAGCCAGAACGGCGCTCATTTCATTAGATGGAAAGGGTGTTACATGAGGATAATTGGGGTAAGGTAAAAAAGGCATAGCAGAGTTAGTCCCAGCAGGGAGTAGCTCTATTATACAAAAAAACTCCTCAACATAGAAGCAGGAGCATCACAGTTACAAAACATCAGACTCCGATAGGGAGGTGTGGGGGGGGGGGGGGGGGGATCCTCCAACGGGAGCTGCCAGTGTACGGCGCTCACAGCTGCAGTCAAACAGGTGGGAGGGAGAGATAAGGGACAGAGAACACATTGAGTTTCCTGCAGGTTGATGACCTCAAAGCAGAAGTCACAATCTGAAGGCTGGGGGGGAAGGTCGGGTCACAGCATCTGTCAGCATTCCTCCTTTCATGGGGGTGTGTTGATGGCAGCTTTGGAGGCTGCCTTGGCGTCAGATAAGGATAAACAAGACTTTGTTTAGGGCAGACAGAGATAATTTTCCTCTCTGCCTTGGAGTCTATTAAGTGATCATTCATGTCCACCAGTGAAGCCAATTAGACGTTCTAAACATCCCCACACCGTCCGGCGACCCTCTCCGAGATGACATCCATTTTGCGTACTAACACAGGCAACGCCGCGAGGACATTGTCCAGCTTACGGTTCACCTCGAGTAACGTCCCAGTCTGTGAGGTCACCGCACGGGCGGCATATTCCGTGGGTACGGGTCGCACTCCAATCGCTCCCGTCTTCCCAAATTTCCAGAAAACCAGATATCCACCCACTCCAATCAGAAGAAATCCAGTGATCATCAGGCCAAATATCCACAAATCTTCCACGTCCTCGATGGACAACTGAGAGAGGCACACGATTCGCCAGACCTCCCAAGAATCGAGTGCATATCCCGCTGCGAACGTCCCTTGAGGACAGGTGGGAGCCCCCTTCTCCGTTCTCATCGTAGAAAAAATCTTAATCAATCAATCGCGTTGAATGGCCTGTTAATTAAGTCCATTTCCAAAAAAGAAGCAGTGATTTCAGGAGAAATGCAGAGAAGTGCTCTGTAGGCAGACAGGACAGAGAGCCTTGGGAAAGCAGATAAGGAAGCTGAAGAAAAAGCGTCTGTACTCTCTGAGAGCCGGATAAGAAAAAAAAAGCAATGGTTGTATTCAGAGCAACAAACAACATTCAAGGTGACAGAACTAAGTCAATGGGGACAGTCTGCCATACATCATCCTTTTTCAAAATAGAGGACTTAAGTACCTCCATCTGCTCATGTCTCACAGAAAAGCCCAAGTCGAAAAGTCCGAAATTGATGCCAAAGCCATTTCAAGCAAGCGCCATTTCTGATCCGTCGCAATCCAAAAAAGCTCTGCTGTAATGTTGCAAAACTCGCCCAACAGCTTTCTACAAACATAGAGCACTGTGATTGGACCAGCTCAGCTGAGCCAATGGTAGTAGACCTGCTGAGGCTACTATGGAGTGTGGCTAGACCGACCTGCAGAGCAAAACCTTTTCTGCGGCTACGGTTTGTCAAGCTTTTAAAATCAGCTGACTATTTCAAAATTCTGCCACGTGACCAAAGCTTAACCCTTAATATCAGGGCAAACTAAGATAAATACACAAATGGTTTGCCACAGTGGTTTCAAAGTGCACATCGAATGACTAAATCACTTGCCGTACATGCTGCATGATATTGTAGCAGAACCCTTTCAAACAAGCAGCTCTCTAGCTCTGCATGTTATTGTAAAGAAGCTGTTGGACACTTCCTCCTCTTTTCCGTCATGCTTGAGAAACACCGCTGGGAGTTGTGATCAGCTTTGAATAATAACTCCTGTGTTTATGTACCTGCGCCAGTCTTCTGTGTTTAACTGTCACAGTAAAATTTGCACCGTTTCAGCCCTACCAGAACGTTAATTGGCTAACCTGTTGTTGTCCACATAGCGGATGAGCATGGGGTAAAAGGCATACAGATCCCTGCAGAGAACAGCAAACTCATCCAGGATGAGCAGCTCGGCCTCCTGAGTGTCTCCTTTACAATCTGCTTTGAGAAGCTCCTCTTCAGCCACCACCTTCACTGTCTTCTTCTTTAGTTTCTCCAGCGTTGGTAAGAAGTGGCTTTTCAGCAGGTCTGCACGAGCCTTGCTGATGATGGGTTGCACATAAACTGTACAATCAAACAAAAATAGAAACATTTATTTTTTATACAACACTTCTTATTTTACATCCACGCACAAAACAAAAGCTAATTTGAGCTAACCTGCAATTCTCTTCATCCATGAGGCCTCGTCAATGCCCAGATTGTTGTTGAGGATCTTGAGGATGTTGCCGAGGATGAGGCTGAGGTGCTCTGAAGTGATGGTGGTGCAGCAGATGCTTCCCCCGCCAGCGAGCAGGTTTTCGGGACCTCTCTCCCACCAGTAGGACAGGTAATTGCACAGCATGGGCAGCACCACCTCGATCACATGGGGCATCTCGGTGTACCGTGCTCCAGACTCAGCCATGTTGTTGATGTCCTTTATGAGACCATCAAGCCATGGCATTCCTGGACACATCTCTTCAACCGATTCTCGTATTCCCAGGGCTAAAAACACCACAATGGGAAGAATTTATTTAAATTTACTCCGCTTGCTTTTTATTTGTATGTAATTATATGTGACTCACCGCCTCGTTCTCGGGCACTCTTGGTGTTAAAAACGGAGCAGGGGTTGTGCGTGTTAAGCTTCGGCTCCAGAAAGGCTACGGGCATGGCCCCAGCCAGCGTGGCCAGACACTGACCAAGAGCTGGAAGCTGCCTTAGGGACACAAATTTAAAATATAATGCAATGACTTCCTTTTGCTGAGCTTTTATTGGTCAGTAAAGCATTTAAACTGAGGATACCTCTCCACATAGATGTTTTTCCCAGTGCCCAGCGCATAGAGGCTGGTTAAGATCCGATAACAAGACACTTGGACGTCATCCACTTGGAAATAAAAGACAAAAAAATAAATAATGTATCTGAAACAACTCTAGCTATACAGAAAAAATGCTGCCAACTACTTTTTGTAATTTGTTTGCAAGAACATGTAATATTTTGTATTAAGTATTTTTTTCTTTGAAACTTTTGATCGGTTTCACCTATTTGCCAGCCACTTTGTTTACATGACCATGCTGAAATTTGTCTTTACTTTAGGAGGCAGATAAACCCCACCCCTCCAACGGTCCAGACACGCCTCAGCACCTCATGAACCTCTGTTAACATGTCTCCTGATATTATGCTGTTGTGTTTTGGCATTTGTCTCGATGATCTCCATGATCTTCATTTGTTTTAAAGGGTATTCATGGTCTTTTGGGTTTTTATTTACTTGTTTCTTGATATATATATATTTTTAATGATGTTTTTTGCTTAAGGAACCTTTTTGCTTTTAATTATGCATTAATTTTCCTTAGTTTTTTGGATTTAATTATATTTTAATTTAGATTTTTTTTCTTTGTTTCTTACTTTCCCCTAGATCAGAACACACATGAATAAAATTCAACCTTTAAAAACATTTCATGAAGCTTTTTTAAAACATGTGGTCAAGTTTAAAGCACATAAATCCTACTTATGAAGATGAAAGTTTCCTTATACATAAACAATATTGAAGCTTAACTGTTTTTCTGAAGCACAAATTGTGCAATTGCTACAAACTTGACAGTTTTTTTGCAGTCTCTCAAACATCAACTTTAAACAGTCACCCTTCTGAGTCATGACTTACAAAGAAGGTCTACTCCAAAGTGATGCTGAGTGATGTGTTCAAACAGAGCGGTTAGGATGGGGAGCAGAGCCGCCGTGGTGTAGTTGATGTTCTGTGACACTCCTTTCATCTGCGAGCGGGAGTGAGTGAACTTCCCCAGCTTTAGGTTCTCAAATGTCTTCTCCAAGTCCTCCGCTGCATTCTCAAAGAATGTCCTCAGCCCCACCCTCACCTGCTCCGAGCCTGACTTCATCACGGTCCTGTTTAGGGAAAAGAGAGGAGTAAAAAATGACCATAAGCAAATAAATAAATGTGCAACAAAAACAATAGATATGCATACATGTAATTACTCCTTAAGACTAGGTGCATTTTCAGCAATTCATTGTTCAAACCACTAGTTAATGAATTCCTATTGTTAAGCCTTGATGTGTCATAAAAGGAGAGAGAAACAGTCCCCAGGCATCAGCTGCAGCTCCTCAACACAAGACACCATAATGCATTGCTAATTTAGCCTTATTATGTGTGAGCTGCATTAATAAATAGAACAGTCTCTAAAGAGCAACAAAATCCTCGGGCAACATGTGCTGCATGAAATGCAGGCTGCCTCTTTAAATGCCAGGGGGACTGGCTGAGTTAATGCCACTGCTTCCCATAAGAATTATGACTGCTTAAAGAAAACATAACAAATATGTTTCTATATAGGATCCAGAGTACGTCACAGGCCCATTTAGTGATTTGTATTTAACTACAATCATCAAACTGGTGGCACTGTTGTTCTCTTCCTGTTTGAAAAATCTCAAAAGCCTCCAGATTTTTTTTTTGTGTTTTCTAGGCTCAACCTAATTTTCACCCACCTGGTGTCCAGAGTGTGTGCCAGAATGTGCAGACAGCTGACCATGGTGGTGGAATCACTCCCTGAAAAACACCAAACACATAAAAATCAACTTGGGACAATTTCCATCAATTTGCTTCAGCCAACAAGGAAATAATGTTACAGTAGTCAGAGTCAATAACCCAAATTAACATTGTTAAAATGGCTGTTTTAAGCTCAGATTTAATCATTACCATTTTGAGAGGAAAAAATGCCCCAGTTAAATCTATTTCTCCAATTGTTTTGATTATTGTTATTATTTTTAAATATGCTCCCTGCTCATCTTTTTGATCAATCAAGTTTCTTTGCATTTTTCTGTTATTCACTTTTAACATTTCAGACTGATTAGGAGACACGGTATGATCTTTTTCTTAAGTAATAATAGTTCTATGGTTTATAGAAAACATGTTTATGAAAGTTTTTGCAATCCCTTTAAAAAATCTATTTCAGCAGTTTTATTCATGAGAGTTTCAGGACCTTCCAGAATGAGCCCTTTCATGGCCATGAAAACACTTTAAGATAATATTCTGGAGCTATCCAGGGGGCTTGGAGAAGAGCTGCATTTCTTCTACCTGGACATAAGAAGATGTAAAAGGGGCATTCCATGCTAATTTGCTAAAGCTCATTTCCTGTTTGTGATGTCAGAAATCAGGACTCTTTAAAACGGCTTGTTTTAGACACAAAATTCCTAAAACCAAACACTGTCAGAAAACGTATAGATGTTTTTTTTTTCACGTTTGAAGTGTTTATAGTGGCAGTAGAAGCCCGCATGGCAGCAGAAAGGATGCAAAAGGTATGTTTTGCATAATATGTCTCCTCCAAATTAACCTCTGATTGTATCCACTCTGTTACTTCACAGTGTGCTACATTACAGCCATCAAGACCATTTGAGTGCAATAAAAAACATTTCCAAAACATGGAATAATTCTTTGCAGATTTGCACATAGACATTTCATACGAATGATAATCTATAAGAAATCATCATCTTACCAAAGAGTGAAATCCTATGTCTGACAAGAGCTGCCAGTTTACAAAACAAGCTGAAGACGTGAGGAATGAAAACAGAGAGGAAATTTTAAAATGACAGTAAAGGTTTGAATAGATTATTAGAAATAGGGAGTTATGGATTTGAAGCAGAAAAACTTTAACAAGTTGCACAGCTGAAATGTGGGAATTGCTACCTGGTGACCATTTCCTTCTCCTTGTTAGAGGCATAACCACTGCTGCTGAGGTTTTTGTTTGGGGAGGAGAGGAAGTACAGAGAGTGGTTCTTGAAGTACTGATCGATGAGAGGGAGAAGAACCTGACAGAGAGAAACAATGGCCTTTAGATTGCATCAGCTCGGATAAAATAATTATATCCCTTTAAATATGTTTGGTTGTATTTGCTTACTTTGGCAAAAAACTTGATTTCCTGTTCGTGAGGAGACCTGTCTGTTTTCCCGCTAGCAGCCATAGCCTCTGGATTGAGAAAAGATGTTTACTGCAAGCTAACTTCAGGGTAAGCCTCTTTTAATCTCATGTTGCAACAGCTTACCTAAGTGGGAGATAAACTCTTGGGCTGAGTCGACATATTTCAGAAGTTTCTTGAGAAATTTATAGGCAAACCTTTTTTCCATGGAGGACGAGTCCTGCTCTAAGCCCTTCAAACCTCTACAGAATAAAAAAGAAACCACTTATCTGTAAATAAAATTACTGATACCAAAATACTGGCTTTGAAGAGTATTTAAAAAGCATCTACTGATGGCTGTCAAGACATTAAAGATTAAGTTCACTTGGTTTTTCAACACATTTGTAGTGGAGTCTAGTATAAATGAATGCCTTAAGTCCATTTCTGTGGAAGAAAAGCTCTGGCGTTCCTGTTTCAGGAGCCAGAGCTGAGGGGAGTGGAAGACGGCAGGATCTGGAGTCTTATTTCCTGATATGGGGTGACAGTGGCACAGGAGATAACTGCTCGCCCTATAATTGGAAGGTTGCAGGTTCGAACCCCGCTCAGTTTGTCACTGTCATTGTGTTCTTGGGCAAGACACTAAACACTCCTTGCCTGCTGGTGGTGGTCGGAGGGATCGGTGGCGCCAGTGCTCGGCAGCCTCACCTCTGTCAGTGTGCCCCAGGGCAACTGTGGCTACATCATAGCTCATCCCCACCAGTGTGTGAATGTGTGTGTGTGACTGGGTGAATGACTGATTGTGTTGTAAGGCACCTTGAGGGGTTCCAGGACTTTAGAAGGTGCGATGTCAAATGGAGGCTATTTACCATTTGTTCAGACATCTCGCTTCTGATTGGCTACCAGCAACACAACTCCACCACCGACTCTGTTTGCTTTTAAACATTGATGTTTTACTCCACAAATAACTCAAACCTGAAGGAGTTCTACCATGTTATGGAGCTGCTAATGCTAACAGTTAGCTTCTACTAGCCAAGACGTGCTCTACTTTCTCCTGGATGCTAAAACAGCAAACATGTGTGAGTCCATGAATGCTGATTTGACATTATGATGTGCTAATTTCAATGACTTTTCTAACCCAAGGGTTTCCTCATCTATTTACTATCAGCGACTAATTTATTTATTTATTTGTTTTATTTATTCTTTATCTAACCAGGAAGGTCCCGCTGAGATTAAAAACCTCATTTTCAAGGGAGTCCTGGCCAAGAGGTGGCAAATGTTACATTTACAAAATGTTTTTGTTACAAAGACATGCTATGTACAAAATTGCAGAAGGCAATTACAACACAGGGAATCTGTCTCAAGGGTTCTCAGTCTGGTTTTAAATGTATTCAAGGAGATAAACTCAGTTAATTTCCAGTTTACCTGCAGCCTGTTCCATGCAGAAGGAGCAGAGTGAACAAAAGCCTTTTCGTCCAGTTTGGTGCGAGCAAATGGAACATAATGTAACTATTGATCATTTGCACACAGACTGTAGAAGTTACACTTCTCTGTCAGATTAAGTTACAGATGTAGGTGGGTAGTAATCCAAGCATGACCTTATTAATGAAGGTGTACCAATGTCCCAACCTCCTGGTGACAAAGAAGGCCATCCCACTCGAGAAGACAATTCACAGTGATGGGTCAGTGGTCTACAGTTAGTAATAAACCTCAGTGAGGCATGATAAACCACATCAATTTTCAACAAGACACAGTGCTGAGGCATTCATATACAAAAGGTCTCCATATTCCAGAATAGAGAGAAATGTTGCAGTAACTGGTCGTTCAATAATGCAGAGAATAGCGGTAGAAGACTATTTTCACGTTAAGCCTGCATGTCGAACTCAGAGTAACCAATCATTTTTCAAAAATAACAAATTAAAAAATGGCTTCTCAGTGAACGTGATCTTTGACATCACATCAGTGACATACGCTCTGTGCACTGACCTTGTGATGGTATAGCCGTTAATTTGCAGGAAGCGAAAAAGGTCTTGAGCCTTCTCTCGGTCGCGGGCCTTCTCTTTGGCTGTCAGTGTGTCATAGGGCACCAACAGGGGGTGTGTTCCTCCACCTGAAACCACAAACAACGCTGTGTTCAGACGTGATTTGCTCTCTTTTTTTTTTGAGTGTCTGAGATGTGGCGCAGTGGAAGCACCTCTCAGCTGAACCCATTTAGTCAAGACCAGCAAGGGTCTCAAGCACATTGAAACACCGCAACATAATCCACCCACTTGTGTGCATAAACAGTGTTTTTCTCTGTTTGGTTGGTGCCTTTGTGCAGAAGTGCTTCATTTGAGATTCACCTCGGCTTCCAAGGTCACTTTTTTTCTTCTTGGCCCAGATGTTATGGTAATTCTCAGCCATTACCTCCATCATCCCCTTGGATCAGGGACAAAAAGGGACAAACTCACTGAGGAGCACATCCAGCCCACAGGGCTCATTCACATTCAAGTCTTTGATCTCACATGCATCTGAGAGCTTTTTTTGTTTAAAGGAAGTGAAGAAAATAAAAGGTAAAAGTTGTGTTACCTGCAATTCTCTGGAAAGAACTACATTGCTTGTGTCTATTGGGCTAGGATTGAAGCCGTTGGCCTGGAAACGGAAACAAACAAACATTTTGTTATCATGATTTTTCCAAGCTAATAATGTTTATACGCAGATTACTCAGCACCTGAAGTAATCTATTTTGGTGTGAGATTGGCAACACAATGACTGCAAACAAGTACTGAAAAAAGTGTGATAAACTCTCTATAGTCTGTGATGTAAAAACAGGTGTGTATTTACTGGAATATGAAGCAAAATAATTTAAAACTGAAAATATTATGGAAATAACTGCATTTTCTAAGACAAATTTGTGAAAAAACAAATACCAACATTCCTTGACGTTTCTAAAGAGTGGTCTTAATCAGAAGTATTGGTAGGTACATATTTTTATGCTATTTCAAATTTACAAGCAAAAAGCAATTTCAGGCAAATTCATTTACTTCCTTGTGTTTGCAACAGCTACATAAAATATAAAAATTTTAAACGATAAATAAAAAAATACAGCAGTATTTTTTGTTACATAAATGTAGCCAAAGTTCCGACCAACAGTTTGATAAAATAAAATAAAAAATGTTGAGTACTTTTTAACTGATGATGATTAATAATATACAAAGATCAAACATTTTGATTGAATCAAAAAAGGCTCCCTGTCCAAGAAACAAAGTTCGAAAAAAGATAAACAAAAAACATCATAAATTCATGCTGGTTACTGAAGTTCAACCCAAATGCATTTTAAATATTTTAACAACAAGCTATTATTGCTCTAGCTTAATAAGTTGGTGAGCAAAATTTGTTTCTAACTTTATTGCTGATAAAAACTAATCTCGGAACTTTACTTGAGAAACTTGAGATATTTTTCTCAGTTTTTCACTCTCCCTCTGTTGAGACATGCTCTCTCCATCCTTTGTTCGGTCGACGCTCCAGCCCATCGCCATCATGCTCTTCAACGACTCCCTAACTGGCAATCTGTAGATCTCCTTCTCCTGGAGTGACACAAATTGAGATCAGAGTATAAACTTTAAAGAATGTATCTCTCTAGTGTGCCGTGCTGTATTCGACCTTTTCTGTCAGGCCTTTATAAGTCCTGAGCTGAGGATGAGTCTTCGCCTTCTCGTCCACACAGTCGCCATATTTCCACCCGAGCAGCACCTGCACTCAAGTAAACCACAAGAACTGAGTCTGTTTCTGATTAAAAAACTGATCGTACAGCATTTTTTATGTATTTGCTTCTCGATGAGCTTGTGTCAAACATTTTGACACATGTAACAAAGTCTAAGTAGAAACCATTACTACATAATTTATATCAAGAAAACCACCTTTAGTTACAACAAAACAAATCAACTAAATTTTTGCAATGAAAATGTTTTCCCTCCACTCTCATTTGGCCAAAATGCATTTTAACAACTGTTCTGTTGAGTATTTCTTTGTTTAGAGACTTTTTAATACCCCTGGTTGTAATTCTGCAGTTACCTTTTCTGCAGACCATTTCTCATGGCAATGCTCTGCATATTTGTTGGCAAAATGTTCAAGCTTTTCTGGCAAAACAACACTAAGGAGAAAAAAAGTGACAATTACTATACAAAGTTGTGTTGCACATTAAGTGAATTATAATTCCAGGCTTTAAAATTGCATACTTCAAGGTACTGATGGGTTTAGGGTCAAAGTTTCCCTGAGCATCGACAGAAACCGGTTTCTCAATAGCTGCACTGATAGAGGCATCCACGTAGTCCGGAGGCAAAGCCCCAGCAATGGCACTGAGACAAGGCATGGCCATCTTGAACAACTCTGGGTCATACTTCTGCATGAAGAGAGCAAGAAAGCTGGATTTGAATGTGCAATTTATCTCTTCAAATGCTGTTATGTGGCAATTCTAAAAAAAAAAGGAAGTTTTACTTAACTAATTAAGTAATGTGTTTCAATGCCAATTTAAGTTGGATCGAGATAAAGTCGTGCAGCCTCTACAGCGACCAGGGGAAGAGACGTTAATGGAGAATTATTCAAAAGGCTGAGAAACTAGGATGCTACGAATTGGATCGACGATGGCTGTCCAGGTATTGATGCGTTCAGCCCAACTCTTTGGATGGACCTGCCTTTGTGAGCGGCCATTTAGTGAGATGTGCTGAGTCCAGCTATCTGACATGCTAATAAGGTGTTTGTCTAAATGAGTTTATAAAAGAATGCAATGAATTCTGTGATTTTGTTTTATTGAGCTGCGCTTGATCTGCAGAGTTTCTTTGTTTACGCTCTTCATTAAGAAGAAGTAAGAACATCAGGTGTGTTACAGAAATTACATTATAACTAAATGACAAGTTGCCTCACCCTTTGGGATAAAGAGTCAAAAACTCCCCAGAAGATCCTTTTGGTGAGAAGCAGTTCATCTTCAGATGCTGTGCCGAAGCTGCCCCAGCCCGATGGGAGGCAGTAGTACTTCCAGTTCTGCTCGTAGTGGTTGGTCAGCAGCTGGACAAGCAAACAACATTTTGGTTGTTGATGTCAACTTTACTTTAAAAACAACAAAAGCTGCAAAGTGCCAAATCCCATGGCACAGTGCAAGCATGGTGGCGCAGTGGTTAGCACTGTTGCCTCGCAGCACGAAGGTTGCAGGTTCAAAACTCGGCTGCGGCCTTTCTGCGTGGAGTTGCGTGTTCTCCTCATGCATGCGTGGGTTTCCTCCGGGTACTCCGGTTCCCCCCACAGATCACAACATGCCCTATAGGCTATAAATTGTAAGTCGCTTTGGATAAAAGCATCTGCCAAATAAGTAAACATAAACATAAATCCCCTGGATGTCTTGTAGACATTGTAATACGGGCTGCATTATGTGTATTTTATTATTAATATTTAGACTCTAGTAATTAAGGCTCAAATGCTGTGTCCAGTTGCACATCTGCAGTAAGATCATACATGTAAACATCTATGGATAGAGATGCAATAAAGAACAAATGTTTCTATATCTTTACAGGCTGGTCACAGTTTATTACATCACCAGCATTTCTTTCCAGCAACCTGTTAGATGGAGAGGAGCGATGGAGTCAACAGGCCAGTAATCACCGTCCGATACTTTATCTCCTCCATGCCCAATTCATGCATCTAATTTTTACCACTAAAAGTGTGTTACTTCCAACTCCCACTAAGCAGGTAATTCAGCAAACTAAGAGAATACATTTCAACTATGAAGTTGAGATTGTGTCAGAAATACAAGAAAAACACAATAAGCAAAATTCAAATATACGTGGGAAAAGAAAGCCTTAAACTATGTCAGACAGGTGGAAACATTGAAGTTAAAAGATCAAAGATCCAAAAAGGGGTTTTTAAAATAAAGAAATAAATTGCTGCCAACCCTCAGAGGCATCTTGCAGTATTCAGTCAGCAAGGGCACGTCAAAGACGAGTCGGCGCAAGAGCTGCTGCAGCATGGAGGGACGAAGGTGCCTGCAGATTAGAGTAAGGAGATGAGAGTGCTGCTTCCTCGAGCATTTTCAAATTCTGAGTCAAGTTTTTCACTCTGATTTAACGGGATCTTTCACTCGGAGCTAACTTTAAATGTTCTAGAAAGTTTAAATAAAATACGGTTATTTCTAATTCATGCGATGTAAAATACATTTTTTAAGTGGATGACGTCTATTTTAACCCTAAATTACAACTTTCATACTTGCAAATGGACAGCAAGCACTCCTCAATGGCATCTCTCTGAGCCTTGGTCAGCGACCGGCCTTTAGAGAGCCGGTAGATGGTGTGCAGGGTGGAGTCAATGAGGGTGGCGTAGTGCTCAGTGCCAGCAAACAGAGGGGCGCAGCGGGTGAGGAGCGGCAGCATGGCCGTACCGATGTATCGGTTCATACCCAGGGCTGTCTCCGTGGTGCACAAACCCTCCTATAGACAAAATACATTACATGAGGCACGTGCAGCGTTATCTACACTTGCAATGAAACTGCAGAGTTTTGTGTTTGGGAAAGGACATCAGGTTGTTAAAAGAAAATAGCTAAAAGCTGTGTGTAAGGATCTCTGACTGATACAAAAGTGAGTGAATGAAACTGAGGATCTATCCATTTAAACAGAGCTGTTTGCTGCCTGATGGAAGGAATTATTTCCTCAGTTTATTTTAACTTTAGGTGTCGTCACAATAATACTCCTGACCAGGTCAGACAGAAGCCTTAGGGGTCGCTAAATAAAAAGTGAGTCCCATTAGATAGCCAAGCTTCTCCTAAGAGCCTCTTTTGCTGTTTAAAAACGAAATAGAATAAAATAACTGAGCTCACAGTCAAAGCGGAGCTCTCAGTATAACCGAATTACACCTCTCAGCTCCCCAGAAAACACTAATAAACTAGAGATGTCCAATGTTATTAACCAATATTGGGATTCAAATGTAATATAAATGACCCGCCATTATGCGTTTAATGACACAACATTTACATTACATATACATATTAGCCATGAAACTCTTCAACTACTTCTCCACTCATTCAAAATGTCCAAATATGACAGATCCAAGATCGTTTTTGAGATATTTGAGTTTGTTTGAAAACAACTGAATAAAAATGCAAAGGAGACATTTTTGTAGTTTTTGTCTATTTTGGTGTCAAAAGGTTGAAAACAAAAGTTTGTATTTTATATAAAAATTTTTGAAATGCATTTGCTTGTTTTGCACCATTGATTATGCAACAGCAGCTCTTTAAGACAAGCAGGATGTTTTTTTTTTTTTTTTTTTTTACAAAATCTACTCAGAATGTATCATCCAGAAAAGCTCCCAGCTCTATTAGCCTGATTAATCTTTTCAAGCATTCAGGACTCCTTTATAATGATGTAGTTGTGGTTAGTGAACTTATACAACCGCAGGTTTTCATTAATATTCCACCTATAAATACCTCCTGATTCAATAGGTGAAACTAAAACCACCACCTAATGACACACTCTCATGTAACAGATCCTGTATCTCTGGCTATTTGTTGCTGCACCTCCGTGCTGTTGTCAGCTCTAATTACCGTATCCATGGAGGTAGCCGCCCTTAGGTCAGGGAGGAAGCCCACTTCCAGCAGATGTAGCAGAAAGCCTTGGTCTTCTATTCCATAAACCCGGTCTAAAAACAGCACCATGGGGGCTTTGTGGTCTGGACAGAAGCTGGCGGACATGTCTGGCTCAGTCACTGATCCATCTGAGAGAAATCAGACCACAAAGCAAGACATAACATTTTAACAGCCTGATCCAAGCAGGTGTGAGGTGGTGAAATACACAGGGTGACGCGTGCAGCACATTATGGCAAGTCTTATCTGATTATGGGAGCCGTGTGTATTCATTATGCAGCTATTTTCTTCTCGACTCTCGACTGTTTTCTTCTTTGGCTTGCTGACAGAGCTTGGGTAGCGATGTTTGCAGCATCGAATTAAGGAGCCAAGTTTGACATGCTCGCATGCTTATGCTGATCAATCAATAGCAAGACGGCTCACTGGAGGAATCGTCGAGCTTACTCAGAGCTGTGAGCAGTAAAGCATGGTGCTGATTAAAACTGTGTGAGCAGAGGATCAAATCAATAACTTTGTGCTTTGCATAAAATGTGCACTGCATTGTTACCCTCTAATATGAGCTAAATGCCACAATGTGACGTCCAAATATACATCTGATGTAAATATAAATTTGTACTGCTACCTTTGTTGACAACAGGCATTTTCAGGGGTATGCTTATAATTCCCACAAGATCTTCAGTGGGAACCAGAGAACGCAGGATGGCTCGAATACGTAGAGCTTCACCTTTTCCCTTGTTTATGAGCTGAAATGAAAAAGATCAAACTATTGCTTCTAATTCAAAGGTGTGAGTCTTTGCTTTCGATGTGTTAAACCAGCTTTTCTCAAAACAAACTATTTCTCCGTGGCCATTACATCATTCCTGAATTACGTAGGAATGCAGGTTGGAGACAATACAGATATTTGGGTACATTAGAAACCCAAAGCTTCTTATATTCAACAACAAGAAGACAAATGTGGTTTTAAGAGCCAGGAACACTTCAAAAGTGCTAGCAAGGCACTGTTAAATGTGCATACATGCATCTCAGGGGCACAGCGTCCCAAAAGGTCAATGAGTGCAGAGTAGAAAGACATAATAGCGTTGCCCATATGGACCACCTCCTCCTCATCATCACCATCAGCAGATCTGCCAGAGAGAAACAGAAAAATATGTTTTTTCTTATCTTTTTCAAATTACCTTGGAAAAGTGCACACAAAAACAGGCCAATGGCTCATTTTAGTGACGCTTAAATTCTGCCTTACAGATCAGAGCTGACTCGCTGCACAGAGCCTGGCAGGTCCAGAGCAGGTGTCTCAGAGATCTTAATAGCTTCCTTCATAGCAGCCAACAGACCGTGTCCTCCTTCTCCTCTGAGGGCCGGTCCAAAACATTCTGGGCGACGGATGAGCAGCTTGACCACAACGCTGGAATTCTCCTCTACGCTCTCTCCTTGAACACGAAAACAAAACCAAATGAGTGTATAGAAATGTAAAATAAAACAAAACTAAGTAAGAGGGTAAAGCCGGATCAACTGGGGGGTAGGTACTGCCATACCATTGACAAAAACAGCAAAACGCAAGAAGGACAGATATCGCTCTCCTTCTATGGGGTCCCAGCCAATGTCAGGGTAACCTTTAGCCAGAAGCATCGGACAACTCTGGAGACCACATCCAGCCAAGTATGTGACCACCTGCAGGTGATTTATACAGAATAATTCACATAATACCCATAGACAGTTTAAATTAATCTATGCATAAAGCTTTTTCTGTTTGCACTGATCTTCAATAACAATTTGGCATTCTTTTTAATCGAGCAGAATGCATTTAATACACATTAACCTTATCCAGGTCTGGTTCTTCCAGAGCCAAAGCCAACCCGTTGTTGTCCATCACAGAGGAAGCTGCAACATCGAGAGGAGTGGAGCCCCTCATGGATGGTGAAGCTGCAACACAAAGCACTCCTCAAGTCAGCAAACAGCAGCTGGTGCCGTTAAATGCTGATGCAAATTAACCTCTACCAGCAGGGGGCGGTGTTTTCACGTTTTAAAATTTAACAAGCAACGGATTTGTTGAACCCTAAACCTGTTTGGTCAAAAAGCTTCAACAGGTTGTACGGAAATACTTAAATTAGATAAATGTGATTATTTACTACTTTTTAATAGAGTTTAACTGTCATACATTGTTTTCATTATGTCGTTAAAAAGAAAAAGTGTTTACTTTGATCAGTGAATTATTAACCATTATCCACGATAAGAAGCAGAGCTGCACCCACCTAAACCCACACTGCTATTCTCCAGCAGGTAGCTGAGGTGGTCGAACATGGCTTTCTGGTTCTGGCGGCTGATCCGGCAGAAGTAGCACAGGAAGCGACAACAGCTGGCCACCATTTTAGGGAATGCAATTTCCTGTGAGTTGGAACACAAAACTGTCCTTGAATGCATCCCAGGAACACAAAATGTGTCTCGGGCTTTAAGGCACATAATCTATAAGTTATTAATTGACTTTGCTAATATTGCAGAAGTGAAAACACTCACTAAAAAAACATTCTGAGAGGCTGTTCCTCTTATCTGCACATTTCAGGCTTCCGACTATAAATACTTGAACGTGTCTTCATTTATTGTTGACATATAAAAGACCTGACGTATTTATACACTGGCAGTCACCCGGTGCCATTTTCATTCTTCTGCCAACACACTGTCAGAACCATCAATACACAGCCGGCAACTGCAGCGGCACTTCACAAACAGTCTGCTTTGTTAGAGGGGAGGTGTTGGGAGCGCTGTGCATTCCCTTTTAATTGACAGCAGAGGTGAATGCAACAGCAGAAGTCTTCAAACCTGAGATTTGTCTCCTCCAAGCACATTAACCATGACCTCCATCACAGTCTCGTGCATTCCCAGGATTCTCATTAGGTTTGGATGCTGGTAAAACACCTTGTTGTTCATGATGTCACTGGAAAAGATAATTGAGATACTTTTGATCACTGGAAATAATCATCTTTGAGAATTAGCTTTTTATTTAGCAGCTTACCCAAGTCCATCGATCATGAGCTTTTCCTCCTCCTTTCCCATTCGAACAGACAGCAGAGACCTAATCTGACCAAGGGAGGCCAGCAGGTGGATGGTGTCTTGGACTGAAGCAGCACTGATGGTGTAGGTCTTCCTCATGGCCCGTAGCAGCTCACCAATGCTGTCATACTGCCTCCTCAGCAGACTGAACATCTTACGAACTAGTTTTGGATCCTGGATATGGCACTCTTGAGCCCAGCTGACCATGGTCTGAGAGATGAGCTCCTTCAGGTTAGCTAAGAAAAAAGTTAAGATCAATTAACAAAATATTTACCTTTTATACTTTTATGTGCTGCAATTTTTCTGACCTAAAAAACTCACCCACACACCAAAAAAGGATTTAACAAATTAGTTTCCTAAAAGATTATGTACTCACCAAAAAAAGACATCAAATATCATCCAAACAGCAGTTAATACCTCACAGCTTTTCAAAATAAAATTTTGTTTAAAAGTGCAGCAATTAAAAACAAATATTCAAAACATTTTATTTTCTCAAATAGGATAGAAAATAGACGTTTATCTTTCAGAGAAAAACACCATTAGACTATTTCAGCAGCCTTGAGTAAGCATTGCTATTGGGCTTGGAAGGAGAAGAAAATCTTCCTTTGCATTTTTATAGGTGAAAATAAATGTTTTTAATTGTGCTTTTTGACCCATGAACAAGCACACACACACACACACACACACACACACACACACACACACACACACACACACACACATGGTTTTGATTCTATGGGCGATTCTTTTCTGACACAAAGTCTTTAATGCAAAATAAAATTAAGTGAAAACCAAAAATGTAACAAATTTTGTGTTTAGTTGATTTGGTTGTAAAATAAAACCATTAGGACTGTAAATCTTGTAGAGTTTAAAAGCTGGTTAATTTACCCTTGAAAGGCAGTCAAAATGCATTTGTAGGTTGAGGAGCAGAGTCCAGTAAATGGGTTGCAACCATGAAAACTTGCCAAATCTTCTCTGCCAAACAGCTCATTCTACTCTTGTTCGATGTCATTTATTGGACTGGATGATTGAAGTCAGAAGAAATGAGATATAATGGCTATTTATTCGTGCCTGCTGCTCATGGGCTCTATGGTGTGGCCCTATTCAGACACCAACTGACTGCTGAAGCAGGGACTATTCTTACTGGTGCTGCCAACCAGACACAAGGAATACCAGAAGCCCAAAATAAGAGCCAAGGGCAGAACAAGGTGTTTAGCATTGGCAGAGAGGACTTGGCATGTTTATTCATGGGCACTCAACTATGCTGCTCAACCCATATATGCACAACCCTTCAAAGAAATTGTGACATTATTGAAATACGTGTTATTTGTGAGGTAAGAATGCCCACTAAAGGGTTAATACTTGTGTGGTAATTTTACAGTTCATGCTGTGAGTGGGTGACCCTTAACGCCTCATTAAACTTGATCAATACATTTCTTGGGCGAGGGCATATGCTGTAGAGTACAAATAGAAACCACCAGCAATGTTGTGATAGAAAAACTTCCATATATCTGGGTGGTTTTTGATGGGATGAAACCAGAATGATGACAGATATGAAACACGCCCGTTACCAAAAGGTGTGAAGCTTCAGTTTGTTTTAAAAATTAGAAGCAACACTTTAACCTCACAACCATCATGCTTCACAAGACCTGATTCTCATGTCAATCCACAATCATGTACTGTACGTACACACACACACACACACACACATACGCACGCTCATCTTTCTATACTTGTGAGTACCCGTCAACCATTACTGGTCTAACTAAAATTTTATTCACACTTCTGAAACCAAATATCAGGTGATTTTTCATTCTGGGGACCAGCCGTCCCCATAATTTCAAAATGTCCTCATGTTAAACATCCAAACAGTGTCCTCTTAATGCAGTCTATTCAAAGTACACACACATACTTGTATTTATATGTTTGTGTGAACCTTCACTGACTTCCATTAACTTTAGTGTTTCCACTATGCCAAACCAATGGGGTTCTTTTCCTAACCCTAACCTAAACTACATAAACTAAACGCTAACTCACACCCTACCTCTAAAACCAAGTGTTAGGGTGCTTAGCAGGGGCGGCGTTAGGCCCGGCTACTTGGGCTGAAGCCCCGGATGTTTCATGAAAAGCCCCGGATCTAAATCGCGGAAGTAACATGCAGTACCAAAGTCCAACAGAGAGGGAGCAGCTGGCAGGAGTTTGTATACAGCCTGCCTGAGCCTCCACCACTGAAGAAGAAGCCCTTCAGCAGCCGGCTTCTTCTGCAGTCTGCCTGAAACGCATGAGTGAAGACGGGCATAAGGACATTTTTTAGACCAAAAGTACCGCGACAGAACCCCAGCTTTGATGAGACTGGTGTTGACTCAGGTTTGTGAGTCTGATTTGAAAATATTTGTTGTGCTGCTGGTTTGCCTAAAGTTAGCTTATCAGGTAAAGTTGTTGGAGAAAGAAAGGGAATATTTACTATCATCTCACACTAAACACTAAACAGGAACAATATTCTGCCCTGAAAATGCTTAATATGTAGCTTCAGGTTAAAAATTATGTGGTACAAGACAAATATATATGATGTTGACTAGTGCGTGTCATGCGCGCGCGTGTGTGTGTGCGTGTGTTAAGCCCTGGATGTTCTTCAGTCCTTAATCCGCCCCTGGTGCTTAGCATTGTGTGGATCAGCACAATGTCTTCACAATGTGGAAATGTCCACATGTTATAGGTTAAAACCAAAATGTGTCTACTTAAATATATAAAAACAAGTACACACACAATCACACACACACACACACACACACACACACACACACACACACACACACACGTATTCCCGATCCATATATTTCAGTGTTGAGCGCAGCTCTCCAACGTTTACCCTTCAACAAACAGATGTGTCTTGTCAAGAGTTTCCCAGATAAAAACCTGCTTCTTTTATGACATAAGACCGCGCGCGCACACACACACACACACACACACACACACACACACACACACACACACACACACACACACACACACACACACACACACACACACACACACACACACTCTTGTCTCACACAAACACGCACCGATTTCTTCAAGACAAGTTGTCATGTCTCACCATTAAATGCTATAGCTGGATGAGCCATTTTTCAGGAAGGAAAGAGACTTGTGCTCTCCTTTTAGTTCATTTCTATAAAAATAATGGCCATGACAGTGGCGCCTGTATCTTCAGGGTTTTTAAAAACGAGAAATTATGACTGGAGCTGCAGCACGAAACACATTATGTCTCTTGTTCACTCGTTTCTTTGCCATACACCAAATTTCTAAATAGATTCACCAAAAAAAAATGCACTTCTAAGCAGTGAAATTATAAAAAAGTTGTGTATTATCCTAAATTCAATTGAATAGAAACATTTTGAAGATTTTGTTTCTTACAGAAAACTGTGCAAAATGCTACTGCTAAAAGCATAAAGTAAACCAATTTATGCATAAACATTCTCAATGTCACACTACGAGCCACTAGAAGTGTGTGGTGGTATATTTTTGAGGAAAGGCACTTTCTTTTGATTTATTGAACAATGTTTTTGAGCTACGATCTTTAACTGGATGTCAAGGACAAAAACGTATGCATTCAGACTAGTTTTAATGCACTTAATGCATCGTATGTATTTTAGAGACAAGCGACCGATTCCTTGATGATGTTACACAAACTAAAACAGACTTAACATGTTAAAAATGTTTCATTTGGCATTTTTTTCACTAATATATATGCCTCTGATTAAATGCCATCTTTACATGCTGAGAAGCAAAATTTGGTCCAGCTTCAAAGTGCAAGATGAACAGAAACCCTATTTTTGATCATTTATATTTTTATTAACGCTATCATTCAGGATGTAATGCTCTGTTTTGCTCCAGTTCAAATGTAAACAACATGATGCTAATTCAACAGCCCTAACGCTATAACAAACAAAGATCTCCACAGCTATGACACCAAGCATTCTTTTTAGGAGTGAAGCATGTCTGTCTGAATTGTGTGCAACAGTTTTAAAACCATCCTATCAGAGTCAAACCAAATCCCTGTGGGACAATTGGGAACTACATTTATTTCTGGGATTTCACAATAAGTTTCAGAAGCAGCAAAACACTGTCATTTATGTCAGATAAAAGCCGTTATCTGGTACAAAAGAAGTTTGATGTTCATTTTTCCTGCTGCAGCAGAGCCACTTAGTGATGATGAGGGGAAAATGGCATCACTTATGAACAAAACTCCTACTGTGTGCAGCAGCCTCAAGTGATGTAGCTGCAATTCAGAATGAAAGCAAACAAATCAAAGTGAAGTGCATTTTTATATGAACTCATTAAAAACATATCTTGCAATCGGTCACCTCAAGGTCTTTCACATGAGCGTTGCTTTTGCAACCACTCCGGCTCTGCAATAAAAGAAGAGTTTGATTGGATTATTTTTCCTGACTTCCTCCTTTTGGTTTTATTATTTTTTCCTGTTTATATATGGTTTAATCAGGTCAAGGGCCAATGTTCTTTATTTATTTTATTTTGTACATTTCTCTTCTTTCCCTCTGCTGACAGAAGATGCTCTTCACTGTGGTGACTCTCCTCCTCCAACCTCTATATTAGCATAATGAAATAGAAAAGAAATTGAAATGGAAATGACTGCTGCACAGTAACTCAGTCTACATGACAGCCACTCGCGGACAAATGCAGGACAGGCTGAGGAACTATAAAAGCAAAACAAGAGGGTCTTGAGTTTATTCTGTCCTTTGTGGTGAATTGAGTTTTAGTACAAAAACAGACAAACAAGTGCAGAGGAATAAATAACTGATTTTGACATTTAATTGCAAAGCGTAAAGTCTGTTTAAGAAGCCATTTTAGGGGAAACTATTTGACTTTGATCATTTAGGTTTTAGATATTTAAACTTTTAAATAGTTTAACATATTTAATAAGTCCTATGTTGTGTCATTCTTTCTGAATAGAGTAAAGAAATTGGATCAATCACAAATTATGTAAAGTTTAAGCCTGGATCACATGACCGGATTAAGTAGTCAGCCAATTCTCAAAGCATGAGAGACCAGGCATCTGATGATAAAAAAAATCACGGATATACCAGTGTTGGCCATACTGTGTGTGATGTGCAACAACTCAGCAAATACTATACACAAATCACTTTCACTCATGAACACTCCCCACTCAGACCGAAAATCTTGTTAGACATAACGTTACTTTGAAGAAGAAAACTGAAGAGGGCATCTACTTGTTAATTTAATTAGTCTGCAATGGTATGGTGGTAATCTAGTACGAATGCCTTGTAAGTCATTTTCTGTGGATAAAAGCTCTCACGCTCATGTTTCAGGAAGTAGAAGTTAGCGGGGGGGGGGGGGGGGGGTTGTTGCATGGCCAAATTTAGAGTCTTACTGATTATTATTAGAAATTCAAACATCACACCTCACATTAGCGAACATCAACAAAACTCTTCTACTGCCTTCATTTGATCTGCAACTTTGATGTTTGATTTCTACAAATAACTGAAGGAGTTCTGCCGTGTTGTGGAGTTGCTAATGCTAACGACTAGCTTTTATAAGCCGAGAAAAGCGCTGCTCTAGCTGCAAAAATCAACACGGACTTCTCAGTCGCAAGCAAAGTTGGGTGAGTCCATGGATAATAAAATGTCATTGATCTGTGAGGCTTTTCCTGACCCAAACCTTTCCTCATCTATTCTGTTTTTGCAGCAAATCCAGGAAATAGATGTGGACTATTTTTGTGTTCAGCATGCATGTGATACTCAGAGTAACTGATCTTATTCAAAAAAGAACAAGTACCGTATTTTCCGGACTATAAGCTGCTACTTTTTTCCCACGCTTTGAACCGTGCGGCTTATAATGAGGTGTGGCTTTACTGAATATTTTCCTTCACCTGCCAGGGGGCGCTTTAGCAGAAAGTGAAACAGGTGGAAGTCAAAAGTGGAAATTGAAGAAAGTGCTCATTTTAATTTAGCACATGCAGCAGCCGGCAGGACGAAGAATTTTTTTTCAAATCCATACCCCCTCATCATGGTGACTACACGTATGAGTTCATATGATGCCGCATTTAAGTTGAAGGCCATCGATCTGGCAGTAAAGGAGGGAAACAGTGCTGCCGCACGTAAGCTTGGCATGAATGAATCCAAGGCTCAGCGCTGGAGACGGTAGCAGGAAGAACTCATTCAAGCCAGCTTCACCCGGGGATGATGACAGCAGCACGGACAGCGACACTGACATCGCCACAGAAAAGGTATGTGACGAAGCTCTTCTGAGGCTGTTCAACTCCGACACTGAAGAAGAGGACTTTAATGGCTTTAGTGCGCAAGAGGAAGATGAGAGCGAATGACTTCTTCTGGTATTCAAGTGTGTTTTATTTAATAACCAGGCGTGTTTTGTGTGCAGTTTTTATTTTCTAATCATCCAGGGCTTATTAATGCTGTGTCAGGGCTGTTCTTTTCTTCTAAACATGCAAATTGCCGGTAATAACGTGTTAGTTCTGTTTTTATTTTATAACCATCCAGAAATATAAATGCTATCAGTGCTGTTTTCTTTTCTAAACTTGCAGGTACGTTCACCCGTGTTTAAAATTTGTTTTGTTGAATTAAAACAACAACGAAAAACCTCAGTGTAGCGTCTTTCTGTCTAATTATCTTATGCTATGGCCATACATGCGCTGTGCGCCGGAGACCTGCATGTGGCTGCTGTGCCGCGGCTTGTATTCGAGTGTGGCGTGTGTGTGTAGAAAACCTTTTTATTTTTTTTTGTTGGTGCGGCTTATATTGAGGTGCGCTCTATAGTCCGGAAATTACGGTAATGTTTCTCAGTGCACCTCATCCATGAAAAAAGTACAAAAAAGCAAAGACAAGTTACTCCTTACATGGTGCCGACTGTTTCTTCTCCTTGGGCTCTTGTGCTTTCTGTGACTGACTTTTGATTTTGTTCACCAGCATAAGGAGGCGACCTTTAATAGATGTGTCTTGCTCGTCATCATCTTCCTCCATCGGGATTCCTACACAAAGACAGAAAAAGATGTACGTGACGTAATAAAACCATATCCTTCTGCAGCTTCTTGTGGGTTTAACAAAAGTCTCTTTTCACGTGTCTTCCTGTCAGACTCGAAGACTGGTTTCGGGAGTACGAGCTTTATTAGAGACTGCTGGCTGCAAGCGGTGCTGGAAAGGCTGACGGAAGGATGAGGTCTGAGTTAGAAAGGTGGAGGTTCAGCTGTATTAGCTTCTGAATACTCTGATCATAGAACACAGTGGAACGATGACTGAGTGAAGAGCCGGTGTAGCGTCTTCCATATAAAGACATGGAAGACGCAGGTGCAACGTGGAGGGAATCCCCGCGAGGGGCATGCTGGGTAATGTGGTCCGAGACAGAAGCCGGTCAGCTGAGAGAGCCCGGCCTGGGGGCTTGGACTCTGACACTTCCAGGATGCGCACTTTGAGCGTATTTCTCGGCAATAACTCCTATTTCATTGTTTTCAATATGAAAGAGTGTCATGACAAGTTGGACTGTTTTTTGCTTGGCTGTATAGTAGGGTCGGGGAATTCTATTATTCATCAGAGCATCAAGATGTCAGAACAATTATGGAGGCACTGAACTACAATTCAGCTGAGAGAAGGAGAAGCACAAACCTTTTATAAAGCGCTGATACAAATCTGATGTTGCTGACACAACAGCAGAAATGGATCATTATTCGACATTTTCTTTAATTCTGTTTTGATTGATTTGAAGAGGAAAAAGACCAAATCCTAAATTTTATTAGGTGGTATTTAGGAAATGCCTGACATTTTATTTCACATCACATATTTCAGAGTTTATTAATCATCAGGGGGTGTTTCAATCAAAGGACACAAATTATGATCCATTTCACTTCACATGCACAAATAATGAATTATGAGAGCCTATTGGCTTTCCATACTTCCTCCCTCATGCTGCCACAGAACTCAGAAGAACAAATCTCTTCCTCAAAGCTGATTTGAAAGAAACAGGAAGGTTTACAAGCTGTATTTGAACTTGAGTGGTGGGATAGTATATTTCTTTATCTTTTATCTTTTAAGAAAAGGAAAAAAAAACATTTATTCTCTTCTAGATGAGAGCTGTGATTGGCTCTGATGTATTATTTGTGTGGTTTTCTGCACCCCTCTGACATCATTACAAATATGTGTACTTTCAGTTAAAGTATAACAAAACAAAAATAACTATTTTAAACTTTTCAAAGTATTCCAAAGCCAACAAAGCCACACCACAATTCAATAACCTGTAAACCAAAAATTCATTGAGTCTGCCTGTTCATTGATCTGTTCATGATTGATGTTTGTTGAAGCAGCAACCAGAGCCTTCCAAATCTTGTTAGAAGAGATGAGCTGTCTTCCCAAACCTTATATCTCATGCCTGAGAAAAACCCACTACATCAGAGTGTGAATCAGAAGATGGAGGGGAACAAATCGTTACTCACCTTTAAATCCTGAAATGGCCTTGGACCTAAACATGACTCAGATTTACTGACCTCACGGCTACTGAGGTGGACGCCACTCTAAATGGAACTCTGAACTGAAGTGCCTTGCTTTTATTCAATTCCTTTTATTCTAAATGAGGAAAAAAAGAAAACTAATCTAGTAGTCCTGTGGTTTATATAAAACATGTTTATGAAGTTCTTTGCCTAACATGCCTCTCATATGAGGCCATCTCAGCAGTTCTGTTCTTGACATTTTCAGTACTTTGCAAAATGACCAGTTTCCAGGCTCTGTCACTTTAAGAAAACAAACTGAAGCTGGCCACACCTACCAATCTCTTGAATGGCTGCTATAACATAAGCACCCACATCTGAGAGGGGCTTGGAGTAGAGCTGCTGCTCCTCCAGCCTTAAAGGGCTAGTGGGGGCATAGAGCCTGGGCAGCAGTACTGAGTCTGGCCAGCAGTAGCTCAACAGGTTGAGCGGGTTGTCCAGTATCTTAGGTGTGTTCTTGCTGTGTGGAATTTCTAATTCCATACTGTAGTTCTTTTTTAAAACACAGAACAGTTTTGTTACCTGTTTTCCCGCTATGTTTCGTTTGCGGCTGCAGACTTCCTCAGGCTGACGCTGATGGTAGCGTCACTTCCTTCTCCGTTTATCCGCGGGCAGCAGAGGACGTTGTCGCCCTCTGCTGCCCGCTCTCCCCTCTCCGACGATGCAGTCCCATGCGCAGTCCAACGTGTAAACTCCATCGTCCCTGTTCATGGTCCCACATCCACGTCTCCTTATCTCGATTGCTTCTTTAATCCATCTTTTGTATTTTTGTTGTTGGGTGTTTATGATCCGTGTGTTGTCCCAGTCCATTATATGGTGTTCTCTTGTGCAGTGATCTGTTACGGCTGACTTCTTTATTGTGCTTTCTGCTTCTTCTTTTGCTGCTCTTGTGTGTTTTCGACTTGTTTCTTTCTCGCACTCCTTTCTATGTTCTATTGTTCGTGTGTTGAGTTGGCGTCCGGTTTCTCCTACGTATGTTTTATTGCAGAGTTTGCATGGGATTTCGTAAACGACTCCACATTTAAGTCCAGCTGGTATCTTGTCTTTTGGGTGCACTAGTCTGTTTCTAAATGTTGTGTATGGTTTTGTTGGTGTGTTTATGTTGTGTTTTTTCATTGTTGCTCTTATTTTTTCTGTTATGCCTCTAATGTGTGGTAGGGTTATCACTGGTTTTGGTTCTTGTCTTTCTGGGTTTCTGGTTCTTTGCTTAGGTTGTTCTTTTCTTTCTGTTGTTGTTTGTTGTTTTCCTTTGTTTACTGCCCATGTCGGGTATCCGCAGGTCTTTAAAGCATGATGTATGTTTGTCCTCTTGTTTACGGTCTCTTTCTTCTGTTATCATGTTTGCTCGGTGATATAATGTTCTGATTACAGACATTTTGTGTATGGTGGGGTGTTCTGATGTCCATAGTAGATATTGGTCTGTGTGTTGGTTTCCTGTATGTGTTTATGTTTGGGGTCCCGTCGGTCTGCCTGCTTATTTTCATATCCATAAATGCTATGCTGCCTTCTGTTTCTGACTCATAAGGGAATTTTATGCTGCCTGTGTCGTCAATGTTATTCAAGTGTTGTGTTATTGTTTCTGTTTGTCCTTTTGGTATGATTTCCAGTATGTCGTCTACGTAGCGTTTCCATAGTTTTATTTTGCAGTTTGGGGGGCAGTGGCTATGGCTTTTTGTTCTAGGTCTTCCATGAAAAACTCGCACAGGGTGGCTGATAACTGGTTACCCATGGCGAAGCCTTCCAGTTGTTTGTATATTGTGTTGTCATATGTGAAGTAAGTGGAGTTAGCTACTAGTCCTATCAGGCGTGCTGTGTCATCTGCTGTGAGGTTTGTTCTTTTGTGTAAAGTCTTGTCCTGTCTGATTCTGTTAACTACTATGTCTATGGTTTTTTTGGGTCGGTGTTTTTGTGAACAGGGATGTGACGTCATGTGAGATGAAGCAATCGAGATAAGGAGACGTGGATGTGGGACCATGAACAGGGACGACGGAGTTTACACGTTGGACCACGCATGGGACTGTATCGTCAGAGAGGGGAGAGCGGGCAGCAGAGGGCGACAACGTCCGCTGCTGCCCGCGGATAAACGGAGAAGGAAGTGACGCCACCATCAGCGTCAGCCTGAGGAAGTCTGCAGCCGCAGACGAAACGTAGCGGGAAAACAGGTAACAAAACTGTTCTGTGTTAAAAAAGAACTACAGCATGGGGTTGTCCAGTAATCGTTTCAGGTTCAATCCCGGCTCCGGACAGAGAATTCTGCTGTTGTGTCCTTGGGCAAGACACTTAACCCACCTTGCCTGCTGGTGGTGGTCGGAGGGATCGGTGGCGCCTGTGCTTGGCAGCCTCAACTCTGTCAGTGCGCCCCAGGGCAACTGTGGCTACATCGTAGCTCATCACCATCAGTGTGTGAATGTGTGTGTGAATGGATGAATGATACACTGTAGTGTAAAGCACTTTGGAGTCCTTACTCTGAGAGGCGCTATACAAGTGCGGGTCATTTATCATTTATGCAAATTTCCCCATTTGTGACATCAAAAATGGAGATGTTTTCAAATGGCTTGTTTCAGGCAAAAAGGTGAGTTTTGCATAGTACATCCCACTTTTGTTTTGTTTTAATAACTTTCAAGTGTTAAATGCATCTGGAAAAGATCTATTTTTATTTTCTATGATACATTTTAACCTTCTGCAGTGATACGGGCGTTATACCGATCTGTCGAGGTGAAGAGAGAACTGAGCCAGAAGGTCTCAATTTACCGGTCGATCTACATTCCTACGCTCACCTATGGTGGCAAGCTTTGGGTAGTGACTGAAAGAATAAGATCACGTATACAAGCAGCTGAAATGAGTTTTCCCCTCAGGGTGGCTGGGCTCCCCCTTAGAGATAGTTTGTGAAGCTCGGTCATCCGGGAGGGGCTCGGAGTAAACCCGCTGCTCCTCCACATCGAGAGGAGCCAGTTGAGGTGGCATGGGCATCTGGTCAGGATGTCTCCTGGACACCTCCCTGGTGAGGTTTTCCAGGCATGTCCAACAGGGAAAAGACCTAAGGGAAGACCCAGGACACACTGGAGAGACTATAGCCTAATTTATACTTCGTTGTCAACTCCACGAGGGAGAGACATGCATGCATGACAGAGACGTTTTGCTTTCGGACTTCTCCATCTCCTGGAGAAGGTTGCAAAGCAATTCCCCGCCAGGACAACAAAGGGCGTAGTGCTTTTCTGTGGGATCCTGTCATGTATCTGGTCCAAGATAGTGAATTTACTATTTTGTTTATATTGTGATTTTTGCATTCAAGAGACTTTTTAACACGGACAAATTTGTCCGTCATTCTCCTTCACCTCTTCATGAGGTATCTTCAGCTCTCTTCATGTTGTTGAGGGTGCAATGGCGGTGCTGTAGATGACAGCGGCATCCTGACCAATCACAAGCTTGCATTCTCCGTCTCGTTGGATGGATGTTTAGAAAAGAGAGCTTTACTCTGTCTGTCCTTGCGAGACTGCTAGAGAGCTCTCACAGTGACAGATAATAACGTTGCGTGTATCTGTCCTGACGCAGACGGAGAAGTATAAATTAGGCTTAAGTCTCACGGCTGGCCAGGGAACACCTTAGGATTCCCCGGAGGAGCTGGCCCAAGTGGGTGTTGAGAGGGAAGTCTGGGCGTCCCTGCTTAGGCTGCTGCCCCATAACCCGACTCTGGATAAGTGGCCGAAAATGGATGGATGGATACATTTCAACCAATTTTAGTTAACATAAATATAAATGTGTATAAACATTCAGATTTTGTAGTAATGAGTCAGGCTAATTGAGAGTGCATTGTTTTACTTAATTTTTCTTATGCTGAGTTTGTAAAACTGATTAGAGCATTAAAAAATAAATGTAAAGTTTTTTTTTTTTTGTAACGGGCAGAACCAGTAAAGAAGCTCATAAAGGTTTTGCCAGATCAACATCTCACCACAGTGGAGCTGCAGCTGGTTGTGAAAATCATAAAGTTCCTCCTGAATGTCCATCGGACACGGACAGTCCTCTCCTGTACTGAAAGTCAGCAGCATGTTGATCTGAAATTCAAACAAAAATTTAAAGTCACATAATTGTCACATAATAAGGTTTATTCTAGTCTATTCTTCTCTACTTTAACCTTAATGAGCAGCCACTTCTTGTGCTCATCTTTTGACTCATGCCTGTGCTTGTCCGTAGTTTGAAATGCCATCTGAACATCACTCAAAGAAAATTAAAATACTTAAGTGGTTAAATCTCTTTGCACTCAGACAAAAGGACAAGCTCACACATCATTTAAGTATCTGTCAAGTTCAGCGTTTTGTCTCCAGCTGTGACCTAAAATGGCTAATGTACTGTCAGTGTGTGTGTGTGTGTGTGTGTGTGTGTGTGTGTGTGTGTGTGTGTGTGTGTGTGTGTGTGTGTGTGTGTGTGTGTGTGTGCTAGCTTGTACTGTTGAGCAGATCTCTGCTGTGCAACGTAATGAATCTGCCTTAAAGCGTTTTTATGTGACATACGGACATTTTCAGGAACATTTGCAACAAAGGACATCTCTCACTTCGTTCGCCAAAAAGCCAAACAGAGACTGTTAAAACGTCAAAGCCCAGGAGATACACAGTTAGAAGGAAAATTAATTATGTAGAAAAATCACAAATGTTATGTAACCTTTCCCTTAATTTCAGCAATTAAACACATTTCTTGTGGCTGCTGCACCACTTTACACTAGAGATCACAATGCAGATGTGTAGAGTTGCTGTATTACAAAAACAAATGTATTAACCTGGCTAGCTAAAGATGTCTTGGAAAAGGTATACGAAGATAAAAATGCACACATGCAACTCAGACCCTTGAGCACATTTAGTATATTTTCACACTATTGAAATGAAGAATGGCATTACATTAATCTCCGAGAACAAAGTAAGGAATCTTGGTGTTATCTTTGACCAGGACATGTCATTCAAATCCCAGGTTTCACAAGTTTGTAGGATTTCCTTTTTCCACCTTCAGAATAATGCTAAGATTAGAAGCATACTTTCCAGGAGTGATGCTGAAAAACTAGTTCATGCATTTATTACATCAAGACTCGATTACTGTAATTCATTACTCTCAGGAAGTCCACAGAATGTAGTTAAAAGTCTTCAGCTTGTCCAAAATGCTGCAGCTAAAGGTCTGATGAGAAAAAAGAGAGATCATATCTCTCCTGTCTTAGCTTCCCTACATTGGCTACCTGTTAAATTCAGAATAGATTTTAAGATCCTTCTTCTCACATATAAAGCCCTTAATAATCAAGCTCCATCATACATCAGTGATCTGATTGTTCCATATGTTCCTAACCGAGCACTTCGCTCTCAGACTGCAGCTCTACTGGTGGTTCCCAGAATATCTAAAATTAGGATGGGTGGCAGATCTTTTAGTTATCAGGCTCCTCTCCTGTGGAACCAGCTTCCAGCTTTAGTCCGTGAGGCAGACACTTTGTCTACTTTTAAGAATAGGCTTAAAACATTTTTATTTGATAGGGCCTATGGTTAAAATCTGATGTTAGCCTAAATCTGGACAAGTGGGGGAGTACAGGGAGGTGGAGTGTACAGTCGGTAAAGACGGCTCTCCCTTGCCCTGACTCCAACATGCCTCCATCTAAATAGGATAGATTATCCAGAGTTATCTCTGTAGTTATGCTGCTATAGGCTTAGACTGCTGGAGTATACACTGACCACTTTTCACACTCTACTACTTTCTTCTACTATCTGCTCTTTAACTGTACTATTTTCTGTAATTTCAGCTGTTAACTTTATTTTCTCTGTAAGTGTTTTTCTCCCCAGAAGAAGCTACAACAATGTTCTGCTGAGCTGTGGTGCCCTCATGGAGGGGGCCATCGTCTAGCACACTGCTGCTATTACTAAAACATTATCCCTCTCCTGATCATAACCTTTTGCTTTCCTTGACGTTGGATGTGCTACCCGTTTAATTATAGATTTACTAGGATAAATACAATAAAGTTTATCTTTCACCAAATAGAATATTTACTAAGACATCACAATATAACTATAGACACATTACTTGTCTTTGTGTGTGTGCGTGTGTGTGTTTGTGCGTGTGTGTGCGTGCGTGCGTGCGTGCGTGCGTGCGTGTGTGTGTGTGTCTGCTCTGTCTTCTCGATCCCCAGTGAGTCGTGGAGGATGGCTGCTTATACTGAGCCAGGATTCTCTGGAGGTTTCTTCCTGTTAAAAGGGAGTTTTCCTCTCGACTGTCGCTGCATGCTTGCTTAGTATGAGGATTGCTGTATAGTCACTGACACTAGTCAGTGACTTGATGCAATTTGCTGGGTTCCTTATATAGGAAACATTATTTCTGATTGGCTTAATGAACTGGCCTGAATTGGAATGTTTATTATGTGAAGTGCCTTGAGACGGCTCTTGTCGTGATTTGGCGCTATATAAATAAACTTGAATTGAATCAATTCCAATTTGTTTTGAAAAAAAAATTCTGCATAAAACAAGAGGCATGATGCAAAGTAGAGAAGTGGCATGGAGCAGCAAGACAGGGGACGGTAAAAGAACAATATCGGCTCTCATGTTTCTGCACAAATTTTCTGATGAAGCTACAAAAATTAAACAAATCAATGGTGCTACACACCCAAGAATGTAATCTAACTTGTTTAAATCGCCTTAGAACTCTTTACAAATACATGGGCGTCCAAGCTTAAATGGGAGTCAAAGTTAGATCCTCTTAGCTGGACTTTTAGGGGTTTCACAGCTGGGCCAGCACAGACCAGGCTCGGTGACATCGGTTCGGGTCCCGCACCGGTCGTTTGTTTACGCACAAATCCCCGAGCATGCGGGCGGGGCAACAGACACGCAGAAAAAGTCTGGCTGTGAGCGTGTGTCTCCTGCTCCTCACCAGTGTTGGGAACGTTACTTTAAAAAAGTAATTAGTTATAGTTACTGATTACTTTGTCAAAAAAGTAACTCAGTTACTAACTGAGTTACAAGATCATAAAAGTAACTAATTACCAACAAAAGTAACTACTTAGTTACTTTTTTCATTAAAGAATGCAAGAATTACTACAATAGTAAAATATAAATGACTAATGACTGAACATAATAAAATGTATGTCCAAATGTTTTATATAAACCTGAATAATTTAAATAAATAAGCACTTAACAGGAGGAACTACTAACAGGAGCATTACACTAATCTAGACTATTAAAAGGTCACTGTGTGATATTTAACAAAAACCCAATCAGCTAAAAACTAAAATTGCAAATAGAAACACCTGTAAAGGTTCCCGAGCCTTTAAATGGTCTCTCAGTCTAGTTAAATTACAGAAATAAATGTAATTTTGCACAGCATTCTGATTTTTCCAGCTTCACATAATTGTGTGTTTTTAGGTTTTTACTAGCATTTCTGTTGCTGGTAATCTAGTAACGGTTAAATAAATAAATAAATAAATAAAATCCTTTAAAATGACACTAGAAGAGGCACAAATCTGATGGAGGACTTAAATGTACTAACATGGGTCAGACCCAACCACAGAAGAGCTGAAGCTGGGTGGTAAACACACACAGGTAGTTCTAATAACACCTGAGCTCCATGCCGTCTGAGACTGATGCATCAGTGTTACAGCGGGACTAAAGACATGATCAGAAACAGGTTACAGCTGGATGATCTAGGAAGGCAGAAGATCGTTGCAGGACGTCTGCGCGGTGAACAGGTGAGCGGACCTTCGGGACGTCCCGCTGTCATGCTAAGGGCACGGCTGCAGACCCGCAGATTCGCTGCTGCACGCATTTTCTTATCAGTAACAGGAAGACGATTTGATACAAGAAGACGAAATTAATTAGTTTGCTCGTTACAGAAAGAAATATTTTTTATTAACGCGGTTATTTTAAACGGAGTTATTCCCGTTGGGTCTATAGCAGGCAGTGACTGAGACAGTAGGGTCTCCGCCCACCCGGCCAGTCATCATCGTGTTTGTAAGTGTGTTACCGACACCTCTCTCTCCCTGGCTGCAGCTGAAGTGTTGCAGTCAGAAAGCCTCACGCTGCTGCTCAACGTTCGACAAGCACATAGTAACACACAACGTTCCGTCCCCAGTAACGGTAACGGCGTTGCAACGGCGGGAAAAGTAATTAATTAGATTATTCCGTTACCTATAAAAGAACGCCGTTAGAAACGCCGTTATACTTAAACGGCGTTACTCCCAACACTGCTCCTCACAGCAGTGACAAAAAGACAGAGAGTGATAATGATAATGAATGCGCATGCGGGAAGTCCCCTCTGGTTGATTCTATCTGCCAATCGGAGGCTCCCCCTAACAGTAGGCGTGTATTTGAGCCAGCCAGTCGGTCCTTGTGGGTGTGCTGGCCCGGGCCAACCCTGAGCGGACCACCAGAGGATAAGGGGAAAGAGAGATAAAACAGGAAAAGAGACATAACAAGAGCATCATCTCCGATGTTGTGCATGATTTTTATATTCTGAGGGATCCACATTGGAGTTTTGTTTGATTCTCGTTGCACTTTTGACTTTAGATAGATTTAGAACTTGGAACATTTCTTGTACACATTGCTCTGCTACAGCTGTATCATCTTCCCACCTGTTCCTGAGGCGGCGACCTGAACTCTTTGGTCTTCTTGGCCGTGACAGCAGCAGACATGTTGAGAGCCAGCATGAGCTCATTGTAGCGGAACTTCTGGTTGTGCTGAAGCTTAGAGACAAAGTTGTCAGAGAAGGACACAATAGCCTCGATGCGGTGCTTCAACTCGCAGTCGCAGAAATAATGAAGCAGTTCGCACATCTGCAGAGCATGTAAAGAAGAAGGAGGCACAATTTCATCGTATCACCAAGATAATCAGATAAACGTTTAGTTCACTCATCAAAGAGATTCTATGTGAGACAGACTCATTTCATGATTGACCGGCTTCAGATAGACCCATTACAGAGGAGCTGTAATTGCTTTATGTGCAGAACTATTAAAATGATGCTAAAGCTTCGGAGTGTTTTATTACCTGTCGTTTGACAGGCTCTGGCAGCCTCTTCTCCAGCAGCCCCTCCATTGGCTGTTTTGACTCTTCAGCTGCTTCTTCTTCTCCAGCTTCCACGGCCTTGCCCTCTGTTCCCGCTAAACCTTCTTTGTCCGTGTGTCTCAGGACCCCCCCATTCCGTGTCTCTCTGAACACGTTTGGGTCAATCAGTAGTAAAATCTTCTGAACATCTTCACTGCCTAACACGCCCATCGTCAGCAGAGTGCTAATGAGCTTCAGGATGGGCACAAACTGATATTCCACGCCGCCTCCTACAGGATCTCGTATGTGGTGTCCTCCACCATGCACGGCCTCCCTCAACATCACAATTGCTTTCTCCTTTAGAGAATCCAGAGGGATTTGAGGACTGTACAGATGATCCCGTTTTGTGCTGATGAAGCATGGAGGGGTGAAGTTGAGGCGGGGTTTCAGAGAGGTGCTAAGCCCAACTCCAGGCAGGCTGTGTTTCTTGGATGCATTGGAAAAAAGTCGAATGGAGCGTGTTTCTGCTGTAACTGGAATAATAAACTCATCCTTCATCATGAGTCTAGACTCTTTGGCTGTCTCCAAGTGGATGCTGATCAGAACATTGTAGAAGCCCTCACGTAACATGCCAGACAGGTACTGATTGTCGATGGTGTATAAGAGCTGTGATTGGTCCAGGTGGCTGCAGAGGGCATGGGCCACGCGGGTGTTTCCCAGAGCACAGAGGGCACAGTACAGCTTCAGGGTGTGGTAGTGGAACTTCCTCATATCTTCCTGCTCAGACAGCTCCATGATGTCAACACACCTTTAAAAGAAGGCAGCGGCTGTTTGAAACATATACCTGAAAGATCAGATTTCTGTGCATGTTGATCAAAAGAAAATATAAACTAAGATTAAAAACTTCATCTTCACTGTTTATAACCATTTAATATATCTTTCATGGTTTTTTTCCTTCATGTATACATAGGTTGGAATTATGTTTGTGTAAATTAAAATATGTATTAGTTTATCAGGTTTGTAATTAATTCTAAACTAGTTCAAAAACACAAAGCAAATCCAGTATATAAAGACCTGTTCTCCTCAGGTATGTGTACCGCCAACATCTGCAGGGGCTCCACACACTGAACGACCCAGCCATGCCTCTCACTCACTCGGGCCGTCTCCACTTTCAGGAAGGTGTTGGGCATGCGGCTCCACAGCACCGCATTAATTGTCTGAACATCTAGCCGGGGCGGACACTGAGGCACCGGGTTTTTGTGTTCACTTTTAAAAATGGCTGACGACAGAGGCATGGTATTCTGGAGAGGGAAAACGGTTTAGGTGAACCGTGTCTTTCTTACATCATACTGCACAGGAACAAGGATGAGATGGGGAAGATGTAGGACTCTACCTTTATTTTAGCCAGTTCAAACTGAAAGAGGTTAGGACTGGTGGGTCGCACAAACACAGCAGGAAAAAGTTTGGTGTTTGTTTCCACCTGGAGCCAAGAAATGAACAGATTTAAGGGAGAAATAACAAATAAGGATCAAAAACTTGAACGGGAGCAAGGGACCGTGACTAGCAGCAGGCGGCTTAATGATGCATCATGAGAGCCTTGTGTGTGTGTGTGTGTGTGTGTGTGTGTGTGTGTGTGTGTGTGTGTGTGTGTGTGTGTGTGTGTGTGTGTGTGTGTGTGTGTGTGTGTGTGTGTGTGTGTGTGTGTGTTCTGAGAGCCGGCTGGGTGAGTCAGTGGTGGGTGAAACCTCGCAGATTCTACTGCAGGAAAATGTAAGCAGATTATACAACTTGAATGGCTCACCAAGACTCAGCTCTCAAAGCACGTTTTCATAATCAAGTGAGAAACCCAACAACACAGATGTCATTGCACCTTTGTTAAAAAAAAAAACACGGAGAGCTTCATAGAGAGTTTTTTCTGCAGCCAACAAACTTAATGACTGTGCAGAATGAACGGCTGACAAAAGTTATGACTTTAGAACAACTGACCTTTGCTCAATAAATGAGTAGATAATAAGTTTGCAGCGCCTGAGCGTTATTTTTCTATAAATCAATGCTAAAATGGAGTGGTTCGCCCTTTCCTTATAGAACAGAATATTCTATAAATTAGATGTCTTAATGTTTTTTTTTTTGTTTGTTTTTTTTTCTGCTGAGTTTTACTCATGTTTTTAACCCTCCCACTGTCTTTATGGGTGACCCTGCGAGGAAAGTTGACCATTGAGCAGCATTGATGGTTTATCCCTTGAGGTCCACGTGGCAGGGGTGAGGTGGTGCTCACTCCTCACCCCTGCCACATGGACCCAAGGGATAAACCATCAGCCCTGCTCAATGGTCAACTTTCCTCACTGGGTCACACCTATTAGGACAGTGGGAGGGTTAAAGAGGGTTAGGGATTATTACACTTAAAAAAATACCCAAAGTGCTCAATGCTCTAAAGATTAACACTGAAAGAAAATAAAGACATAAGAAAAAAAATTGTTTTTGAAACAATAGTTAAACAAATAGAAATTGTACATTTTGAGGAGTCAATCATAATATCTATTTTTTTATCCTACTTTGTTTTCCCCCTTCTAAAATCATAACTTAATAGTTAAAGGGGACATATTAATACTCTTTTAAAGTTGTAATGATTCAATTGTTGATACAAAATATGTTTATGATGTTTTTGTGCACATAATCTCTCACATAAACAATTTCAACACTTTTATTAGAGACAGTTTCAGTACCTTCCAGAATGAGCTGTTTCAGGGCTCTGTCACTTTAAGAAAACAAGCTCAAGCTGGACACACCCACCATCTGCTGCTCAGGCTGCTATGAGCTAAGAAGCTCTGATATCTGGGAAGAGGTCAGAGTAGAATCGCTGCTCCTCCAGCAGCAGCTCTCTCTGGCATGTGAGAGCTAATTTCCCCATTTGTGACATCACAAAAAGGTACTTTTTGAAAATGCTTGTTTTATGAACATAATTCATAAAACCAAACACTGAAAAATTAATTAACGTGTTGTTCACGACTGAGGTGTTTATAGAGACAGTAAAGATCCACATGGCAGCAAAAACCAATGCAAAATGTGCGGTTTGCATATTATGTCCACATTAAAGACAAATAGAGTGATTTTATACTATTAGACCAACTTGAAGCAAAAACAATTGTCTGAAAAGAAAAGTTTTTTAAAACCTGGAACATTTTTTTTCCAAACAAATAAAAAGGTAGCATATTATCAAAGGGCAATTAAAGGCACATGGGTCCTGTGTTTGCAACAAAAATATTCTAACAAACTTTTAATGTGTGCTTGTGTTCTGTACCTGGTAGGATGTGGATATCTCCTTTCCATTGGCGGTGAATGTCACCAGACCGGTGGCAAGATCTATCAGACAGCCGATCTCCAGATCAACATTGGTGTCACGAGTGGCATGTCCAGTGCTGGATATATCACCACCCCACACCATGTAGCAGTTACTCCTCTTCACACTGTCAGTTATCAACAATTATGAATGATTTAAGCAATAAAAAAGTCATTCTCTGTATAAATGCTGGACACGAATCCTCACCTCTCATGGACTCGTCCACGCTCATCACCCAGGGTTACAGTCACTGTCCGGTTCTTGCTGAGGTTGAAGTTGTTGCTATAATAATGGTAGTCAGGGGTGACCCATCCAACCCACACGCAGTTAGGGTCCTGACCTGAGAATATTCTCACCGAGTGGTGGTACTGCAATACAAAAAAAGGATGGATTGAAGAGAAATGTTCCAGTTTTAAGCTACGATCAGAGAGGAAGTTTGAGCTTACCATGGAGATGCTGCTGTAGTCCACTCGTCTACTTTCCTCACCATGTCTCACGGATCTCAATGGATATCTGCAAAGTGATCAAGTACAAACCAGCTGCCTATGATGGCTGGGAAACAGTACCTTTAACTGCATTATCAATACTTCCAAC